GTAACACCAGCCTAACGGTACTATTACATTTGTCGTACGACAAATTTTTTAAGCGTGTTAATTGGCTGCAAAGTAGAAAATTTCTAGACATTCAAGATCTTCTCTATCCTGCAACTGATCACACACACACACACACACGCTTGAAAGCTTTGTCGTACGACAAATTCTTTAAGTATGTTGTTTGGCTGCAGGACAGTAAAATTCTCGAGTATCTAGAAATTTCCTATTCAGCACCCAATCAATACGCCTGACAACTTTGTCGTACGACAAATGTAATATTAGCCTAATGACTGCGCTCCTTCGCGCAGCGCGGGGGAATTCGATGCGTTTCACGGGCCCGAGGAGAAGCCGCACGTCAGACTCGGATGGCTCGACGTAGCGCGCGGCGTGGCGGATACCGTGCTCCACCGTAAATCATAACGTGGCACTCGAAGGCTATCGTTCGGCGTAAATTGCCGGAGATCGTTCGATCGTAACGCAACGCCGAGCGTCTTCCAACAGTGGAACACGCGCCCTGCCGATCGACGCCACGCGCCCGCCGAAATTTTTCGAGAAAATGTAAACGCGAGGCCGAACATTTCCTGCCGCTGTTTACGTCGCCCTTGACACTCTATCCGATAAGCGGGTACTTTTCTCCGCGCGCGTCAAGAGCGCCGAGTATATCTGCGCTGATAATAAAAGCAAATTAATGCTCGATAATACGAATAAATGGCTATCAAAATGGCGTGCTGTTTTCGAACGGTTTCTCTCCAACAAAAACATTTCGATAAGAGCGCTGGGACTTTCGATGGTCCCCCCCGTATGAATATATCTATTACAAGTATTACAACTGCGAGGTATTAAAATTTTCACTCGCATATAAGAAGAAGCCACGAGGGTCAAAATGAAGGAAAACAAGTCCGCTAAAAAAATATGTACTCGGCTTCGAATAATTAAATTATAAAATCGAAGACTACATTCAACTTCGAATAATTAAATTTTCAGAACTCTTATCAAAATGTCAATATAATTCTGATATACACATCAGAAGAGGCCACGAGAGTCAAAATAAAGGAGAACAAGTCCGCTAAAAAAAAATCTATACTTAGCTTCGAATAATTAAATCGAAAAAAATATACATTTAACCTCGAATAATTCAATTTTCAGAACTCGTATCAAAATGTTTATACAATTCTGATACGGATATCAGAAAGGGCCGTGAGAGTCAAAATAAAGGAGAACAAGTCCGCTGAAAAATATCTGTATTTAGCTTCGAATAACTGAATAGAAAAATCGAAAACAAATGTACATTTAACTTGGAATAATTAAATTTTCAGAACTCTTATCAAAATGTCAGTAGAATTATATAACTCTCGTATACGAAATATATATATACATGCATCGTACACACACGCGCGTTAAATTGTATGTATATAACTCATGGAATAGCAAGATCGTGCGGCGGAGAGGTGGGGCAAGTAGCTAGCGTTACGATAAGTTGCGGCGGTATTATCGATATCGGATACGACTGGCGCTATTAAAAGATAGAAAGAAACGACTTTGTTATTATGCGGCGCGATGTACGCGCGAAATTTATGTGTATCGCCGGCGCGATACGAAATTTGTCCTGAAAATTCGCGCCTCGCGTTCCGAAATGCGCGGCATTTCGCCACTTCGGCGATTGTAGGTCGATTTGCCGCGCTCGTCCGGCAATAATGCGCGCGTTAACGCAATACGAGCGTGGCGTTTACGAATCGAATGTGCGGGGGCTGCAAATTTTCGCTATCGACGCATCCGCACGGCGATTAATTGTCACCGCGCGCGAGATACGATCCTAAAGGTTTGTCGCAACTCATCCGCGCGTCGCGCGAAACCTCCTCGCGAGCTTCGCATCAATTTGACGCGCGGGACCGGCGCGCTGGGCAAGTGAGAAAATAAACAAACGTGTCGAAACGCAAGGGGAATGCATTGAGACTTTGTAATTTGTACCGTCGAGAAAACATTGATGCACCACGCGTCGCATTCCGTTCTCTTTCGGCGCGGCGCGGCATCGATATTCATTCGAAGGTACGTACACGTCGCGAAGTGTTCGACGTGCCGGCCCTCGCGCCTCGAAACGGGGAACCCCCGCGAAAAGCGTTCGGCACCGAACGCGAATTCCCGCGAGAAGCGCGCCGGGGGGGTGGGGGAGGCGCTCGGAAAAATCGAGAGCCAACGCGATTCCCGATAATATCGCGCGCGTTATGCAACTCCGCCGCGCGTTGCTCAATCTCATAGGCAGCCCGGCCTGGCTTGCGTTACCGCCGGTGCGTTTTACGCGTCAAGGTTTGACGAAATCGTAATATCATAAGAGCGATCGCACGGGGCGCTCGATAGCGGGGAGAAAGTACGAGAGAGCCGCCGGGAGTCGCGTTTCGCTTCCACCGTCAAATCGCCGGTCTCGATTTTCTGACAGCCCGATCTGACATGCGCGCGCCGCCACGTACGGCAATTCTTGGCATTGAGGAGCCGAGCGGAGCAGGAAAAACGGGATACCCCGATTCAATTATCTTCGCCCGCACTCGTTGACCTCTCCTCACTCTCTCTCTCTCTCTCTCTCTCTCTCCCCCCCCTCCCTCCCCCCTTTCTCTCTCTCCCTCTCTTGTCTCTGTTCTTATGTTCTATACATTTTCTATATTCAAATTTTTTTTTTCTATTGTACACTTTTCTATATTCAAATTTTTCATTCTCACTCGTAATTATTTTTCCTGTGTGGTTTGTCTAGCGCTTTAAGGATCTTGTCCGAGAGCGTTTAATAAATAAAACTTCTCTCTCTCCTATCTCTCTTCCCACCCTCTCATCATCATCATTCACCTTCCTACATTCCAATCTTCTATATTCTTATTTCAAAGTAACATTGTCTAACGCTTTAGGAGACATGTACCGGAGCGTTTAATATAATAAAGATTCTAAACTCTCCCCCCCCCCTCTCTCTCTCTCTCTCTCTCTCGCTCGCTCGCTCGCTCGCTCGCACGCGCGCGCCTTTCTCATTTTGTCCTGCTCGCGTTGCCGCAGCTTCCAATTTTTCAGAGAAACGACGCGTCAATCGTGACTTATAGTCCGGTAGTCGAGTATTTCAGAATCGTCGAACGAGACATTAGCGTCAGCATCGGTAATGACGTTTAATCTTGATCGATTATCCCGTAGCCTCGTCGACATCGTAACCGCGGATCGCTTGCGCTACGCGTCCCGCGGAAGATGCAGCTGACCACGGGCACCGCTCGTTACAGCGATATCACGTTTCATTTCGCGGCTTTTGCATTTAGCATATCTAAAATATAAATCTTATAAGGAGCGTATACAACGGCGTCTACTTTTATCTTCCTCGGTGGCTCGAATAATATACATCATTATTTTATCTTGCGTAAACTTATTTACATCTGTAGCAAACACTTTACACGCGATATAATTTAATCCTCCTCATATTTTTCGCAGACAGAGATTACAGGCACATTAATGTCGGCCTATAACGTTATAATCTCTTCGGCTACTTTTCTCACGTCGTTCGTCGCAAACTCGCGTTCACTTTCTTCCGTTTATGATCGCGGACAGGCCAGAGAGAAAGAGAGAGGGAGAAAGAGCCGGACGATGGTCGCGTGGGAAGAGCGTTTCCTGCTTTCTTTTCAACCTGCACGCACATTTTTCCAAACTGTTGCTTTTGTTACAGAGGGCTCGAGCTGTGATTCTTATCAGGATAATGCGCAGCCTGGATAGGCTATCGGGTAGCGACCAAGACTGCGGCGATCGGGAAATGTACATCGACCTGGACGACGCATCCGTCGACTCGCTTACCGGGAAACGTACTCGCCACCATGTCGCGGAGGTATCTCTCGTCTATATTCTCCTTTCCACCGTCTCGTTTCCATTTTATCGCGCTCCGTTGTGACGCGGGCTTATCTCGCCCAAGGCTTTTAAAGTAACCATTCGCCACGAATAAGAAGAGATACTCGACCCACATAAGTTACTATTATCACCCCGAATTGATAAGATTTAGGTTTTTCCGGCGCCGTGCGCCGGTCGATTTCTACCTTAGCCCGATTTTGCGCTGAATATAACACGGGACAGGGGCACAATTACGGCGTTCGGCCGAGCCGCTTGCGAATTTCACGAACGGATAATCGGAAAACGAATGCGCCGTTGAATATATTATCGCGGGACAAGACGTCCCATTATTATCCCGTTTATTGAGGAAACAACCTTTTTTTTTATCGGTGTTACGCAGCACCGGAGAAAATTGCCAGCGTTTTATCTATCCGCGGGTTTTATCGCTTATTGTTAGACAAATACTCGCGAGGCGCGTTGCAGGAGGCGGTAAGGAGAATTAAATGAATTCCTTTATTGATGAAAATAGCACGGCAAGCTCTTTATCTAGATTAGATATACCATTATGTAACACGTTATCGCGCGTTAATATAATCAACTGTGCCGATTCGGATGTGGGGGACATTTGTGAGCACGGCGCATCCTTTGAAAATCCTCCTTTTGTTCTTGTAGGGAAAAAGTTAAGAAAAATATACCATTTTCTTGACGTGCCGCTGAAACGAAACCGAGAATTCGCGTCGTAATAAAATATTTATTTTATCGCGTCACGCTTTCCTGATTTGTCTAACAGAGATAAAATGGGGAAAGAGAGAGATAGAGAGAGAGAGAGAAACAAAGGAAAAATATAAAATGTAAACGTTAAAAATGAGAAGTGTACATATTGAAAATGACACTGTAAGCCGGGAAGTCATCTTACACCGCGAGGCAAGGAACGAAACTTAAATTTAATAAAGTTAAAATAAAACATTATCGTGTCGTACGTAAGACACTTGCGAGCGTGCCGATTCGGATGGGCATTTACGAACACTGCGTGCTTCCTTGGAAATTCCTCCTTTTGTTCTTATATTAATTTCTTGATAAGTCGCTGAAACGAAACCGACAGCGGGAATTTGCGTCGTGATAAAACATTTATTTTATCGCGTCACACTTTCCCGATTCGTTTAACAGAGATAAAATGAAGAGAGACGGAGAAACTGAAGGCGAAATATAAAATGTCAACGTTAAAAGTGAGAAATGCACATATTGAAACTGACACCGTAAGCCGGGAGCTAAGTCGCGAGGCAAGGGACTAGACTAAACTTAAGTAAAAAACAAAATAGAAATACAATATTATCGTGTCGTACGCAAGACATTTCGCGAGCGTTCCGTGTTCCCGGTGAATTGGCTGACAAGTCGCGATACCAGTGCAAATTTCGTAATGTAAATCGTTTGTCACCGGGAAGCCTCCGAATGGAAAATTGAGACGGGAAACTTATAATCCACCCAGCTGGCTAGTTATTTTATTAGTTTACTACACAACGTTTCGACCCTATTTTTTGGGGGGCCCTTTTCAAGTGGCACCAAGTCAGTCCTCGTCGTCGAATAAGACAGAGTCGAATTATAAAATATACGCGTACGTGTGAGCACTGTGATTGCCGGGCTCGAACTACCAAATGGAAGTGTCTCGTGTGTCTGTATCGCGCTACGAAACGCCGCGGCAAATATTTGACAAAGATCTGTCTATCCTGTTGCGAACCGAATGAACCACAGGTGGGTGAGGAGAGCGACAGCAGCGGGAGCGAGAGGAGCCCGAAGCAGGCGAAGAGAAGAAATCGCGGCGGCGCGCCGCCGACCACGAGGAGACGGAAAAGCGGCATTTCCGCGCGCGAGAGGAACCTGAGGAGGCTCGAGAGTAACGAGAGAGAGAGAATGAGAATGCACTCCCTCAACGACGCCTTTGAGGTAACAGTCGATCGCTTCCCCGGGCAGCTTTCGCTCCGCGTCTTTCGCGTCGACGAGCGCGACGAACTTTGCTAAAAACTTTCGAGGAAAACGTGAAACTTTCGCTGCGCGACGCTAAATCGCCAGCAATAAGAGTGAAAATAATCAAGTGATCGATATAAACGTGTCAACCTGCAAGAATATTACACGGAGTGGATTTTCTCTGAAAATTTATCCTGGAAATCGTAGGGCAACACGACATGTTGCGATTATGACAGTTTATTTGAAATTTTACCAAACATTTTTACTATACTAAACCCAGTGAACACCGAGCGTCAGTTACACTGCATTTATGCTACAATTGCTCACTCAACAATGTACATGCACACGTTTACATTACAACACACGTTTTATATTACATTTACATCGTTGAATGAGAAATTGTAGCATAAATGCGACGTACCTGATGCTCGGTGTTTACTGAGAAATGTGTGGTAAAATGTCAAAAATCTCTAGTGTACATTTTTACTAGTAAAATGTATGGTGAAATTTCCAAAAACTCTCATAAGCTCTTCGAAATGCCACGTTGTCCCACGATCGCATGATTTTCAGGGTAAATTTTGAAAGAAAATTCTCTCCCCCCGTGTAGGCGAGAAAAGTTGTTTTAAAATACTTTGGCAAATAATCGTTTTAAAAATATTACAGGCGAAAAATACTGCTCTTAATTTTTGTAACGCGGCTTTTTTTCTAATACCTGAAGAAAAGCTATTCGTTCATTTATTAGATTATTAATATATTACGAAAGTCACTTATCACTAAGCGAAACGTTGTTGATCGGCGTCGAGATGCAAACGTTAGCAAAATGTGTAGAAAAATTGATTTATGCGGAAGATAAACGTCGACAGCTTGCAGCTGCGACTCTGTCCGATAAACGTTCTACTGGCCAGTTGTACGCGGCATTGTTGCAAACATGTCAATTTTCGGCTACATCTTATTAGATTGCAATCCGGCGCTGTTATTTATCGCGCGAAACGCGCTACTCGATATGTAGATAGACTTTCAATCCACTTCTCCTCGTTGTAATTTCCAGCAATTACGCGAGGTAATACCACACGTAAAAATGGAGAGGAAGCTCAGCAAGATAGAGACGCTCACGTTGGCTAAAAATTATATAATGGCACTGACGAATGTCATATGCGAGATGCGTGGCGAGGAACAGCCGTACACGTGAGTATCGTTCTGATCTAGCCTGCATTTAAATTGCGGCGCAGCGTGAAACAATTTGTCGATGCAGAATTGATTAAATTAATTAGAAGAAAAGGGAGAATAAATATTTCACGCGAGTATAAGGCGATAAAAATATCGAAATAGAGTGTCGGAAGAAAAAAACTATTTATACGAGATTTTATTTTGCATCTCAAACGTGTAAAAATAAACCTTAAAGTATCTCGTAAACTATTATTTCAATCTTGCGTGTGATATTTTGCATTCTATTTCCCCCTTAAAAACTGTCGTTTCTCGAAATTTGAAATATCTTATTGGTACACGGAGAGAATTTGCTCTTAAAATTTACCCTGAAAATCATGTAATCGTGGAACAACGTGGCATTTTGAACAACTTTATGAAAGTTTTTTGAAATTTTACTATACATTTTACTATGGTAAAATTTCAGAAAACTCTCACGAAGCTTTTCAAAACGCCATGTTGTCCCATGATTACATGATTTACAGGGTAAATTTTAAAAGAAAACTTTTTAAATTTTATTTCATCAAATGAGTTTGTTATCATATCTTAAGATTTTGTTCTTACTCATAAATTGGCGGTAATTATTTAATTTTTGTAACGCGGTTTTTCTCTAATACCTGAAGAAAAGCTATTCGTTCATTTATTAGATTATTAATATATTACGAAAGTCACTTATCACTGAGCGAAACGTTGTTGATCGGCGTCGAGATGCAAACGTTAGCAAAATGTGTAGAAAAATTGATTTATGCGGAAGATAAACGTCGACAGATATTTAATTTTGCTGAAAATGAGTAACATTTAACGCGTTTTGTTGAAATACCTTTTTCTAAAACGAACAATTATCGCGCCATTTAAGGCGTGCAATTAAAATAAAATATTTTGCCCGTGAATTTATGAAAACTTGCTTTTTTCCTCAGGTTTGTCGATGGCGAATGCGGTTCCAGCAGCGGTGATAGTACCGGCCAACTAGAATTAAGCGGGGGCGAGCAACCTGACGAGTCATCCCCCGCGTCGATTCACGAGACTAACAACAACAGTCTTCTCCACGAAGACTTGGAACGCAGGATCTAAGAAAGTTCGATCTAAACGACAAACGTATCGAGACATCGAATACGCACACACAACCACGTACACACGCACACATACACGCACAGACTCTGTGATAAACTATCATATTAGTGCCTTTCGTAGGAACAGCAATCCGCGACGATTCACTCATTATTCGCCATGGATCTTCGTAGATCGTCGTATTCATTTGCGAAAAATCCGCGCTGGAATAAAAAATGATAATTCCGCAGGGACACGATAAGAGAAACGCGAGAACGAGCGGAATGAAGGGGAAACGAATAGAAAGAGGCGTGAAGAGACAGAAGAGAAAGAGAAAAATAGGATAAACCTAACGAAGTAGAATATAACGGAGTGAATAGGGCAGGAACAGGACAGAAAAAGAGAAAGATAGGAAGGGTACGCGTTTTTTTTTTTTATTATACGTAATACACGGGACGTTTTCGGTCTAGCGCATAATCCTTTTCAAAGAGAGATTTCTCGAGGAGTCGAGATGTCCTTAGAAGTTTCATAGGAAGCCATTATTTTATGACTTTATCTTTATCTTCCATACTAGAGATATCTTAACAGCCAAACCTCAATCTAACGAGGGACACTCACGAAGTGCCATGTCGGATTTGGGGAAACCAGGAAGCAAATTTTTCATGAATGAGCACGAATAAATATATAGAATTATGTAAAACTATACAACAAATATGTCCATGCATATTTTTACATTGCATATTTCTATATAATTTTACACAATTCTACACAGTTCTGTATAATTTTATACATGCTTTTATAATAATATATAAAAAATTTTGCAATGTGAAAAATTACTTATTTAAAATTACATATTATCTAATTGTCTACAATTGTACAAAGTTATACAATTATAAATGAGCAATTTTTTCTTTTAAAAATTTTTCATATAAAAGTGCATGCCATAAAATTATACACATTAGCATGTATAAATCTATGTAATTATATATTGATAATTTTACATGATATACTATTATATATATTTATGCATGCTCATGCATGAAACATTTTTTACCGGGCAGTGTATATATTTTTGAAAAGTACTCGTCGAGACAAGTTCACCGATATATCATTGCCGCCCGAAGCGGAGTTGGAGGTAAAATATCAGAGGGCCCGACTTTGGGCAAAATTCGAAATTTGACTGCTTGAGTACGCAAATAACTCAAGTTGATTTAACCCGGGAGTGCTCACCTGGAGTGATTTTTATTTTACAATGTCGAAGAAACGTAAGAATTCAAATGCCAAGAATTATTTTGCTCCTTTCGTTTCTTAAATTTTTTTTGTCTCCTTATTTTTTTTATGAGTACTAGAAACGATAAAACGCGCGCTTCGCGCGCGCAGTTTGTGGTCAAGCATTGTATATTTTTAAGAATTTGTATACACGCGAAGAAGTAATTGTATACGCAACGTCAATTTAAAATAAAAAGTAATTTGTCACTCACTGATACGGTTCGCAACAGCAAAGTTGTACATCGCTAACTATACATGTTAAACTGCAACAATACAAAAATGTATACGATTATTATAGACTAATTATGCAAAATCCAGACTATTGCATTAAATATATTTTATATTTAATATTTTTGAAAATGGGTATTTATTAAAATAATTATATAGAATACTGAAAGTCTTCCTTTTAAATATGAACTCACAAAATTTTATACGTATGGTTTTGTGTCTAACACTTATTCGAATCCACGTTCGAATCATTTGAATAAATAAAATAAAAGCACAGAACAGCTGCTTTATTTTGCACAAGTAGCAAATAACAAAAATTTAAGACACTTGCCTTACGATTTCTCTGCCGTTGCCCGATGCCGCCTAAGCCTGCTCCTCCTCTCAGATTTTCTTGTTGCATTTACACTCACACATTCACTCGCGAAAATCGATCGCGCGAAATTTCGGACACTCCCGTACGCGATGTAAAATACCGTGAAATGCAGTAAGTGACGTTCTTTACTTCCTGCCCGTTTGAGATGCAAAGAACGACAGAGCGAATTACAGCGCGAACGCCGAAGTCGCACAAATATCTCTCTCTTCCCGAAAATGGAACAGATTACACGAAATCGATAGATAGTTAAAAGCGCGGTGCGTAAACGAGATGTAACCGCGACAAAGTACCACGGTTTGCTTTCATATTTTAGATGAGTTAGTCTCGTAAAATATCCATGTACACGTTGATAAAGAGCCGTCGCCTCAACGCGCAATTCGTTTCTCATTACAAGTTGTAGAAACTTAATAATTAATCTAGTAGCGTTACTTGTCACTGATAAAGGAGTCCAAATCAATAGCGTTTTATCCTTGCATTCTTCACGATCGAGTCTTGGAAACCGACAACGCAAAAACAATACCACGCATGGAGCGACTTGCGCCACTGCTTGCCGGCTCAACGTTCGGCGAACGAGTGCGAGCGCAACCTTCAAGTACAATGATGGTACGCAAAAACATCGTACGTCACCGCGCCGAGTGAAAAACAACAAAAAAACGTTGAGAATTCGTTGGCCCATCTACGTAATGGAAATTCCGTACTTATCACTCGCTCGCCGAACGTCGAGCCGGCAGGCAGCAGCGAGAGTTGTTCCGTGTGTGATATTATTTTTACGTTACTGAATTCCAAGTTTCGATCGCGAAGAATGTAGGGATAAAACGCTATTAATTTGTACACCTTTATCAGTGACAAGTAACGTTACTCGATTAATTATTAAGATTCTAAAACTTGTAATGAGAAACGAATTGCATATTGAAGCGACGGCTCTTTATCAACGTGTATATAGATATTTCACGAGACCAACTCGTCTAAAACATGAATGTAAACCGTGGTACTTTGTCGCTGTTACATCTCGTTTACGCACCGCGCTTTTAACTATCGATTTCGTGTAATCTGTTCGACTTTCGGGGAGAGAAATCTGTGCGACTTCGGCGTTCACGGCGTAATTCGCTCTGTCGTTCTTCGCAATTCGAACGGGCAGGAAGTAAAGAACATCGCTTACTGCATTTCATGGTATTTTACATCGCGTACGGGAGTATCCGAAATTTCGCGCGATCTATTTTCGCGAGTGAGTGCCGTGAGTGTAAGTGCAACAAGAAAATCTGATTGTGAGAGGAGGAGCAGGTATAGGCGGCATCGGGCAACGGCAGAGAAATCGTAAGGTAAGTGTCTTAAATTTTTGTTATTTGCTACTTGTGCAAAATAAAGCATCTGTTCTGTGCTTTTATTTTATTTATTCAAATGATTCCAACGAGCATTCGAATAAGTGTTAGAGACAAAACCATACGTATAAAATTTTGTGAGTTCATATTTAAAAGGAAGACTTTCAATATTCTATATAATTATTTTAATAAATACCCATTTTTTTAAATATAAAATATAAAGTATATTTAATACAATAGTTTCGATTTTGCATAATAATCGTATACATTTTTGTATTGTTGCAGTTTAACATGTATTGTTAGCGATGTACAACTTTGCTGTTGCGACTCGTATCAGTGAGTGACATATTACTTACTTTTTATTTTAAAGTGACGTTGCGCATATAATTACTTCTCTCTCTCTCTCTCTCTCTCTCTCTCTCTCTCTCTCTCTCTCTCTCTCTCTCTCTCTCTGCCCCCCCCCCCGTGTGTGTACAAATTCTTAAAAATACATAATGCTTGACCATAAACAGCGCGCGCGAAGCGCACGTTCTCTCATGTCTAGTATTTCTAAATTGTAAACCTTCATTTACTCTGAAACCTAAAAGAGAAGTGAAGCACATCGCGTTTCGAGAAAATCAATCGGCATCGCGGAGAAGGGCCTTAACTGTTCGATATTAACGACATTCGCGCTGGTAACATCTCTTTTTTGGTAAGGGATAAGCGCGCGCTTTGCGCGCGCCATTTGCTCTCTCTAAAAATTCGCATGGTTTGACAGCTGCAAATAACACGATTGAAGTATGTCGTATCGCACAAGCGAGACAGCCAATCAGCATCGCGAAAAAGCGGCAACAATACTTCGAGATATGCGACTAATCGACTTACATGCCTTTTTTAGAAGTGGAAGTGGAGTGGAAGTGGATTGGTTAAATCTCTAGGACGTAATGTTCTACTAAAAAATGTATTCTGTTTTAGTCAGTTTTTAAAATAATCTACACTTTCCTGCTGGATGCGTCTGTTCAGAGATAGTTCGCAGTGATTAACATTGAGACAAGGAAATCGATTTCCGGTGGATCCTGGGAATCTCTTTGGGGATAGTTTGCGCCAGATCATATTTGGTATAATTCAGTATCGTGAATAGATTTTAATTTTGCCTAAAGCTGAGTCTCCTTTTGCCCTCAATTTCATTCCAGACGGCAATAATTTATATACCGTTGAACTTGTCTCGATGAGTACTTTTGAAAAATATATAAGCACTTCCCCATATCCGACGTGGCACTTCGTGAGTGCCTCTTGTGAGATCCGTTAAAGCGATATTCGTCCGAAGTAGGCTGAGAATAATCTTCTATCGCGTGATTGAATCCATGAAGTTTGATTCACTATTGAAATCGCTCGATTCTCACTCCCTTTAAACTCAAGAATTGAAAATGAGACACGTAGTAAAATTCTTGTTAGTCTATTTTCTTATCCAGGGCCGAAAGCCCTTAATGTACTTCCCCAAATATCTAAGTAAATAACGTGTTCAGGTAGAACGTGCGTCTCGTTGTACATATAGAATATAACCGAGAGAGAAAGAGACAGAGTGAGAGAGAGTGAGAGAAAGAGAGAGAGAGAAAGAGAACATATTCAGAAAATATTTATATCGTACGGCACATCAAGTGTACCGAAAAGAACGGTTGTGCAAATTCACGTTGTGAGTTTACTGTCGATCGTTAAATTTTCATTAATTTATTCTTTTATCAACATTACCGACTTAGCGCAAGATATTATCATGCTAGTTAAAAACTACTATTACCTTATTCCTATTACTAATACTACTCTGTTACTATATCGCTACACTATTATTACTGCAACTATCACTCCTACTATTATTCCTATTACTATAACTACTATACAACTATCATTCCTATATGGTACCATTGTTACATGGTTATTAGAGATATTATCTTTTTAATATTTTATTTCGATTAATATTCTATTATTTTAAAATTTTTTGAAAGATTATTATTACTGTTATTATTATTATTACATTATTACTATTATTGTTACTGCATTAAATTAATAACACATTATTTTTATGTTTTACCCTGCTAATGTCATCTGTTGCAACGTATATTCCACTCACACTTCTCCGTCCGCGAATTATGTATAGAGACAAACGTGTCGATGCATTTGCCAATTGGTATTTTAACCACCCGCAATAACTACATTCGCCGATCATCGTTTACCAATTATACTTTTAGCTGCAAGCAATACACATAAGTAATAATTGTTTGTTGATCAACTAGCAACTACAAACGTAATTAACAAATGTAAAGTTCATTAAATTACATTTGATGATTACCAAGAGATTTATTACAATTTTACCCTTCTCTGCTTCAAAAATTGTTGGTTGCCACTGAATCAGTAGAAATATAATAGATAGAAATAAGCCTTGTACGGTCGGGTGGGATCTTTTGTGCCTATGATATTACGGCACTTATGTACATTTTTCGGTCCTAAATAAAGTAGCTCTAAAATTTCACGTAATTAAATTGCTAATCAATTTAATAATACCGATGCTAAGAAGTAGCTTTAGAATCATCGCAAAGGCTACTAAGACATTAGGATTGCAAGGGATACGTTGCGAAAAAGAACACAAAGAATAGCGACTTTTAAGGCGAACAGTGACACTACGTAATCTGCGCTGGGCTCACCCTTGGAGAAAATATACCTTAGAAAACCTTAAAATTTTACTTTAGAAGACTAAGAAATACGAAAAGTAAATTTGGACGCTGTAAACTTTTATTTAAGGTAAACTTAAAACTTACTTTAAGGATTTAAAGGACACCTTTAAGAATTGTGAAAAGTGTGTGATATAATTTATAATACCGCGTGCAGTTTTCTTCTTACGAGAAAGCGGGAACTTCAACAGGCTTGGCTATCTAAAAATTACGTTTTTTTAAGCGCCCAAACTTACTCTAAAATTTCTTAAGTAAACTCTTAAAATTGAAAGATTACTTTTAAAAACTTTAATTTCATTTAAAACAAATTTTTCCAAGGGCAAAAGAGTAGGTGCATAAATTTCACGCGATGATATCATTAGGCACAAAAGATCCAATCCGTCCTTACACGTGTTTCTATAATGTAATATTACACACATATACTGGTCAAGTTTCGCTTACATTGTTTACGTAAAATAATATTGTACAAAGACGAAGCATTACAATAGAACTAAACAGACTAATCAAGCTAACAGATTATGTTAAAATTTGTTAACTGTACATTTGCGACAAATCGAATGCAATTGATTTATTATGTAACTATCGTAACATTCATATAGATGCATGGTACTGCGAGTTAGATTAATTATTCAATCGCAACATTACGTCTCGAAGTCATAAGTCATAAGAAAGTTTACGCTCGATTATCGCTATTATTAATATAACATCATTATCGTTGCGCGCTTAATATCATACCGTTGTTATTATTGTCATTGTTATCACTACCATTGTCACTGTCATTGTAATGATAATTGCCATGGTCATTGTCCCGCGCAATTATTATTTATGTTATTACAGAGTGGCGTTTTATTACGATTCAATACCACGTGTACATACCACTCTGTATTTGTGCGCATGAATCATTTCCATAACCATAATTAGCTAAAAACGACTAACATAAGATTTAAATGTGGTTCCGCAATGTTTTAAAACAAGAGTTACACACAGGTAAAGACGGCTTCGCCGTTTGCGGAAGCAGTTCCATCGAAGATTTATATGCCGCGGCTTTATTGTATACGACATTTTTCATGTAAATACTCGCGTTGTACTTGAAAAGTTTTACATAAGAATATAAGGTAATTAAGTTGCTCATACCATATATTATAACTTCTTTTTTAAATGCCTTAAATGGAAGTTATTAAAGAGAAAAATGTTTTGCTTTAAGAGATTTATATATTGTGGCAAAAACAATTCTACTGTACCCACCGTCCATCTTCTAGAAGATACCAAGATTGTTTTCCTTTTTCTTCAAGTTAAAATAAAACATTATTTATAATTTCGTAACACGCTTTGATTTGCGTCAACAAAAGAGTAGGTTTATATCAACTGCGAGAGAGAAAGGAGAAACATATACGCGGTTTTTAATTTTTATTGCGCTTGACGGCATGCGCGATAATTGCCGCAATTAAAACTAACAACGCTCCTAACAATCCAAGCACAAGAGCCATGAGAATTGTATCGATTGGCAACCACGGGTCCTCCTCTCGAGTCCAGGTAACAGGCTCGGTAGTCGCAAACAAACTGTAAACGACGAACGCTTCCTGCATTATTCAGGCAAAAAGGGAACTGTACGAACAAATCAGGTAAAAAAAACTCGAATTATAATCAGAGCTGGGCAATGTGCTTTATCTATAGTGCACATCTCCGATTCTTCAGCTACATTGAGGAGGTAATGAACGCGTTAGGAACATTTAGGTAAATGCGCGCTGTCCAAATCGTTTCGACGCTCAGACACTGTCTTCCACGCCGCTTAAAATTTTACCGTTTTACGGCTCTTTATGCATTTCATATGTAAAGGATGTTTCGATCGTGTTTTGCGCAGCCCTGAGTATAATTAGCAACGTGGAATGCCGACGTGCTGGTTTCCATCTCTTCCTTGGCGAGCTCGTCGAAGGACAGCGTGATAGCGTCGTCCAGATCCTTTCCCAACTGTTTGAATGCGGTTCTACCGAGCCAGTCGGCTAGATCGTTGCGATTTAGCTGTCGGAGCCGATGTATAATCGCCGCGTGCGTCTTGCCCCGACCCTCCGCGGGGGAGCTGTTCCAATGGAGCAGTTGACGCAGACACGGGATCTCCTCGTCCACCTTGCGTTCTTTTATTCGCGAGAATAGCTAAGCGTTAGTTGGATTGTTCGCGAATAAATCGAATTAACGAGGCAATTGATTAGCGGGGGTCGGATGCGATTTAAGTTTGTACCCGCAGAAAAGATTTCCAGATCCAATAGATATTGCGGATCGTATATTAATCTGAAGTGCAACATTCGTAAATCTAGAATAAAATATTGGCGCGTGAGAAAAGATAACGCCACGAGAAAAGATTCATTCTAAACGCAAGAACATGTAATCTTAGAGTTTATATACACTGTTAAATTCGTAGAGACTCGATGAGTCATATTTGGCTCAATGAGTACGCTAATAGCACAGTGCACTGGCTACACATTGGCCCAATACAATCAAATAGTGTACCAATGTTTAGCCAATGTTTGGTCAATGCACTGTGCTACTAGGGTCGTCGCCACTGCTTCTACTCTAGTAGCATTGGCCCAATACAACCAAATGTTGGACCAATGTTTAACCAATGTTTGATCCAATGCACTGTGCTACTAGTCCTATAAGTAGCCCAATATTTGGTTGTATTGGGCCAATGTTAAACCACAATGTTTGGCTAATGCACTGTGCTACTAGGGAGGGTAGTCGCTACTGCTTCTACTCTAGTAGCATTGGCTAAACATTGGCCTAATACAACCAATGTTTAACCAATGTTTGGTCAATGCGTCTACTCTGTAGCACAGTGCATTGGCTAAACATTGGCCCAATCCCAGTGAGAAATGATTCGTCGAAACGATGTCGAATCGACATCGACACTGTCGAATTCGACGTTGATTCGATATCAATTCGACGGTGACGATGTTGATTCAGCATCGTTTCGACATCGATTGAGTCATTTCTCGCTGGGTAGAACCTGGACCAAGTTCTAGCATCGTGGACACAGGCCTTGAGAAATGATTCGACAGCGTTACGACGTCGATCGACGAGTCATTTCTCGCTAGATAAATACGTCAAGAACATTTTTGTCGCGCTATTGAAAATCCTTTCTGAGAGAGTGTGTGTGGGAGGATTGGGCTGACCTGCCGCGGCCAGGTTTCTCGGCAAGTCGTAGGTCGTGTAATGAAGCGCGGCGACCAATCGTCTGCATTCGAACGGGTCCAGCCGAGCCGCGAGATACTCCAATTCGCTCAGGTTCACGTCTATCGTGCCGCGGACTCTCCGGATAAAAATCGTCGCGCTGATCGCGAGCGCGCGGATAAAAACGATCGTCCAAGATCGCATTTTTTCCGCCAAACGCGACGTCGCGGGGAAAAAAGGAGAGAGAATCACGCAGAGACAAAAGACCATCACTCTCGTGTGCTTTTATTTTTTCTTAATTCGAAAAGACGTCCCATCCCTCCGCTCGTTATCGATCGACCCTCCCCTCGCTCTCATCGCGTCTGCCTCTTCGCTCTCCGTCCCCCTTTCTTCTTCCTGTAACATTTGTAACAGGCGGTCGGCGACGGCGCGTTCTCCAATCTCTCCGCTTCCTTGGGGACGATCGGCGCGATGACCTCCGTCGCGATATGCGTCAATTCCGGCGACACTGCCCTCTTCCTCTTTTTCCGCAGCTTCCTTCGTCCCTCCTCGACTTCGGAGGCGAAATCCTTTCTAAACGCATTTCGCGGACACCTCGCTCTCTTACATTTTATATTCTACACGGAGAGAATTTTCTTGTAAAGTTTACCCTGGGAAGTCACGATTGCGTGATTTTCCGGATAAATTTTCAGACAAAACTCCCTCCGTGCACCGAATCTCGGAATCACACCGTGAGATAACGCAGTTGCCTCATACTGACTCTTTTCTCCGCCTCCCCGTCAGCTTGTTGAAGAGCCTCGCGCACTTGTTTCTCACGAACAGGGTGCAGCAGCAAGTGCAAATTATAATCGCGACTACGATCCCTCCGGCGACGTACAGGGACAGGGAGACCGGTCGGCGTCCTAAAATGCATCGTGCCGGCCACGAATGTCGTTGCTCCGGAAACCGTCATTCGACTCACCTAACAAAATGTCGTGGATGCTCGCGCTGGTATTATTCATTCCTCGTCTCTTGAAATGCTTTCTCTCTCCGTACCATCTTGCCCGGTCGTATCGGTAAATGCTAGTGGAAAGTGTCAGGGGCGAGCAATTGACATTTCACGGTTAGGCGAATCGCAATACATAACGAATACGTGAAACGAATTGAAATATCACACAAATCGCGCATACCTGGCTAACGTCACATCTTGGCGTTGCGCAACGTGAGATAAAAGATGGAGCTTCTAAACTGCGACTGCAGAAAGTCGGAAGAAAAAAATGTTAATATAATATAAAATTATACATTACGATATTTAATAATATAATGATATGTTTATTTAAACACAAATTTCAAAGAATTTAAAGGACTCAGAGCCGTGACAGGGTGGCAGTGTCTAAATATTCTATTCTAAGTTTATTGCGAAAAAATATCACCTCGGCCAGGGTTAGATGATATATTTTTTCGCAATAAACTTAGAATAGAATATTTAGACACTGCCACCCTGTCACGGCTCTGAGTCCTTTAAATTCTTTGAAATTTGTGTTTAACACATACGAGCCATACTAAAATGTTTATTTAAATTAAATGTTATATTTAATATTATAATAGATTAAAGTGAAATAAATTTATTAATAAAGTCGAACGCAAACATCGACGTCAAACATTGTAACCACAAGATTTAATGTTTTTTTCGATTTCGAGAAAAACATTTCTCAATTTTTAGAAAATTTCAGTCTCTTAGTTTTATTATATATAAAATTTAAGGACATTGCTTTTGTATTAATCTAACACAATATATTTATTGGCATATAAATATAAAATATGTACAAATTTCATAATATTGCATCACGCTGCATCATATTCATTAGTCACGTTTCTAAAAAAAAAAATATCAATCAATATATTATATAATAATTGCATACAGCAGTAAAATTTTCGTAGCACAAAAAGTTAGTGATATAAGTTTCGTAAATACTATATCATCTTGCGAAGAGCACATCGCTATCGGGCGATCGACTAACTTTTCGATAAATGTTATCTTCAGAAAAAAGCGATATACAGGGTGAGGAAAAAGTATGGAAACCCTTAAAGTATTTGAAAACTATGCATTTCAGAAACAAATGTTTAAGACAAAAGTTGTATAGTTTCAAGAGTGACATAAGATGGTATCATTGGTTTGACCTTGGATAGTCGTTTGAAGGTTACATGAAGGTCATCTTGAATTTTTAAACCTCCGTTTCTGATTATATCATCTTTTTCTATTAATTTTTCAGGTTTTTCTGCCTCCATGCAGGTTTTTGTTTAAAAAATTCAAGATTACCTTCATGTAACCTTCAAACGACTATCCAAGGTCAAACCAATAATACTATCTTATGTACCCCTTGAAACTATATAACTTTTGTCTGAAAAATTTGTTTCTAAAATGCATAGTGTTTGAAAAATTTGAGGGTTTCCGTACTTTTTCCTCACCCTGTATAATACATGCCACATACTCGCCAGTTATATAATTCAAGCATTGTGCGCGTCTTATTTTAATTTGCATAAACTTGATAGATTTTCGCAAAGATCACGTCCAGCGTTTGCTTCCAAGCTTGCTGCGCATCTGGCGTGTATTGCTTCCCGAATAGGGAAGGGAGGGCCTCTAAAATTATTTGTTTCAAATTCTGAAAGGTAATTTGTTTCAACTATTATATATTGTAAGAAAGGGGCGTATATTAAAAACACACGGTGGAGCAAATGTCAAGCTGGCAGAAATGTCAGGATAGACACGATACGAGTAACTACACTGAGAAAACAAAGTTATTGAAATGACCGAATACGTTTAGTCGGCAGTATTTCTTTAGTTCGAACATACAGCGATTTATCGAAACATATATTTTTATCCAGATACTTTCAGGCTCTAGATGCAAGACCTTTGTATCTAAGGTACAAATCAGTTTGTACGAAGAGACGATGGGAAGCGGGTTTATGGGAAAAAATTTAGATACAAGATATATCGCTGTTGTATCGTCGAATGTAGAAGACAATAGGCATTTACCTCGAATTGCTGCCGCGTTTGCCCGCGGTTCTTATGTTTCTCCGTAAAATTGATCAAGCTCGCTTCCATTAATTCTGGATCGTTCATTTGTTCAAGCAGCTTCCCAAGTGTCGCTATGATATTAGCACAGTGCGCTTGAAACCTTTTATTTCTCGGCAGTTCGTCGAGAGGGATATGCTTGAACGACTTGAATTCGTTTTGCGCTTCTGGGAATTGCTTGAAATAGCTACAAAGAACAAGTTCGGATTACGTTTCAAAGTCGAGAAATGAACAGCTTCGAGAAAGCGGGGAGCGGTTCGTTGTTAAAATCGTATTAAATTATGCTTTAAAGATGAAAAAGTGGAGAAATCTTTTTATGTCATGCATTGACTGTAAAGTAATAAATAATAATAATGAGAACGTGTGATTCCTGTTAACATTTAAATGATCAACTTAAGTGAATTTCGCTACAAGTGTATGATTCTTCTTCATACGTTTTAATATAAAAAAAATAACTTATAACTACTCCAATCCAAATTCTATAGACCTGATTACATTATTATTAGTCGGTCTAGCGACATTAATATTTTTGCACGCAGCTTTATTATATTACAGTGAGTTTGTCAGCTTCAAAAGAGTGAGAGTCCACTCCAGAAAATTTAGAGAGAACACCCACAGAAAAATTTCCGGATCCAATGCTATTACACTTGAATGTATCATAAAATAGGATCGATATAGCGCCAATCATATTTATTATAGAGAAAGGAATGTTTTAATCTTAAATAAAAAATTCTAAAATCTAGAATAAAATGATAGTATGTATCGTTTTTTTTCGAATATCGCAGTGCCAACTTCGTGCGTGTAAAATGGAGGGAACATTTATTCTAAACGCAAGAATATATAAACTTACATTTATATAAGTTATTCTTGTCTCAATACAGTAAGTCAATCTTTTTTAATTCGATAGGTGAGAATAAGAATTATTGATTTTATTTTGATATTGTCTTATTTTTATGCCAAATGAGGTTGTGAGAAATATAAATGCGTCAAGAATATTTTTGGTCTCAGTAACAGAAATCCTTTCCGAGGGTGAACGATTATACACAGGTCTACAAGGGTCATGTTAATGGAATGAAACCAAGTGCACTTTATGTAATTTTGGTCGCCGAATTCGAATCTGGCCTCGGTTTTCTCCCATCACGTCAGAATTTTTAGATATGACCCATTTTTTATCTTGAGCAAAAAACGGAAAAATACTACTTATTTCAGCGGTATATTTAATTAACAAAAAGCACAAAAAAATGAAAAGTGATACACACAGAAAAATATATACTACCTGCAAGTAAAGATTATTTGTTCCAAGTATTTGATAAGTTTATATATCCGCAAATCTATCATAATGTCGTCGCAAGTGTTATATTTCCTCAAAACATATTCTGGTTCTTATGTAAGTCTAGTATTTCAAACAAGAATACATAGAATTATTTGAAGCAAAACAATTTCCTTCTGATTTTATTAAAAGAAGCATATTCTTTCATTCAATAAGTTTTATAATTTTCTTCAAAGAAGAATAAATTCTTTCTTTGAGTATAAGATGGCAAGCTTTCTAAGACTAGTAACAAGTACATCTTAAAACTATTATTAAGAAAATATTCTTTGTTAAAGCAAACTATTACTTAAACGGAATAAAATAGACCGAGTAATTACTTTTCTTGACTGTACAATAATATTTTTCTGTGTGTACGAGTGCTGCTTTCGCGACCGTGAGTAAGATAAACACAGGTTGACGACTTTCGCTCGATTGAGACCGTTTCTCGCGAGCTCGGATTGTTAACGGTCAGGTGAGTCAACGAAATTGAACGAAGAGTAAATAAACAGCGACAAGCTCTAGTCAACCTCAATAACAGATAATATTCCTTATAAAAGGAAGAAGTAATGTGAAACATCTGAAAACACCGTATTTCCAACTTTACCGCTAATGTCTTCAAAACGGAACGTGATTGAAAATTTCCGATCATTCTTGAAATCAGCATGAAAAACTGAGTAGAAAACATGTGTTATGATACCCTTTACTCTATCAGTTGCAAAATGCCTAGGGACAAACTTGAATTTTTCCCTTTCTTTTTGCTTAAGACCAAAAATGGGTCATATCTAAAAATTCTAACGTGATGGGAGAAAACGGAGGCCAGATTCGGATTCAGCGACTAAAATTACATAAAGTGCACTTGGTTTCATTCCATTAACATGAAATTGTTGAACATTTGTAGACCTGTGAATTATCAGCGGAGAGTTTAAAACTTGTATCAGGCCATTCGAAAGAAGCGCACAGCGCGAAAGTGTAATATGCGAACATCTCTCGCGAGGTTACAAAAGTTACAAAGTTCTATTTGCGGCACCAACTGCCTCGGTATGCCGGCGACACAACATTAAGCTGTAAACAGCTATCCGGTGTCGCAATAATTTGTCGCGGTATCATACGCGATAATGAAAGCGGCGTTGAAATTTTCACGACGCGCGTTCCGCCGCATCTTCTGCGTCGTGGCATCGCAACGCGGCGCGCATTGACAAACGCGAATGGTTCCGACGAAACGTGAGGGTAATCGCGACGAGGCCCGCGGTACGTGACATGGTTCTTTTACCATGCACCAGATACGCATCGGCGATTCATTAAATAAATGAATGGCTTGTTAGAATGCGGAAGTTCCTCGGCGCGAGGAAGCTACGGTCGCGTCACGAGAATTTCGCATCGCCACCGTCGCGTTTCTTATTCACGATCTTGCATTAAGGAACGTCATTATTCACGCGTTTATTTATTGTTTACCGGCGCGATCACACCCTTCGTTGGTACTTCGAAATTGCAAGTGTGTGCCTATAGATTGAAAGAGCCCAGTGAGAAGTGATTCGTCGAAACGATGTCGAGTGGTGTCAATGTCGTTTCGACATCGATTAACGAGTCATTTCTCGCTGGGAGTGTAAGTAAGTAACTAAAAACTGTGGAAAAGAATTAGTAAAAAGCGGTTCCTCCCCCAAAAATGAGCCTTTTACCTCATTTCTTATAATCCAGTTTCGAAAACTTATGGGAAAAATCTAATTTTTATATATTAATTGACTATGGCTTATTAACTACGGCTTTGAAAAATCAGGGTCAAATTTATTAAAATTAGATATCCAAATTCTATGTTCTGCGTTATTCTCATTTTTTGGTCTACAAAATAACAACGGCCTAATTATGCTGGAGAAAGCTTTTATTAGTCTTTATGAAAATTAACACTGTCTTTTAAAATTACAAAAAATAGATTTTTCCCCAAAATTTTTTTTTTACTTATAGTATTTTTCATTGGCAAAATTGGCGCGCACTGACAATGAGTGCACACCAAGGCCTGTTCATACTCGCAGAGATTTTTCTTTTAAAATTTATCCTGAAAATATTGTAATTGTGGGACAACACGGCATTTCAAAGAATTTTATGGGAGTTTTTTGAAATTTTACCATACATTTTACTAGTAAAAGTTGGTATACTTTTCACTAGTAAAATGTGTACTAACTTAATCCTTAAATACAAGATTGAACAAACCTTAGCGTGCACTCAGCGCGCACCAGTTCTGCCATCGAAAAACGCCGTCAGTTTCTTATTCTATTAAAAACAAACTCGGTCTTTTACATCTCTACGAGTACCGATTTGGCGGAAAGTAAGCGGATGAAGAGAATTCGCAGTTTACTTACGTCATTAGAAGGGATACGCCGACCGACACCTCGTCCTTTCGAACGATCGCCCATGTGTTCTGCACCAGCCTCTTTTGCTTCTCAGTGAGACCGAGCTTCTCATCTACTTTATTGTCGTTAAAGAAATCGAACAGGCCACGGAACAACGCCATTGTTCGCTTCGCCGTGCGAGAATGGAGAGCCTGATCTATGGAAAACAATTGCACCGTTGATCAGATGATTATTCCGCAAATGATCTTCAATGGGAGACTCAGCTTCTCGTCGCGAGAGTAAATACGCTTGAACATGCGATATTAGCGTTAAACGCACGATTGCGCCTCAATGTCCTTTCGAGAAACTTGACGATTGAAATCGGCCGCGGTTTCACCAACGTCACTGAACTTGAAACTTAGTTTAATTCGTTCTTTGTCTTTTTGCAACTGTTACTTTAGAACGAGGCAAAGAACGAATTAAGCTAAGCTTAAAGCTAAACAACGTTGAAATCGGATCTTAATCGCGAGCGATTAATAATCCGAGTGAACGTAAAAGTAATTCACAGGTGTTTGGATGAAACGGTGTGCAGTTTTATTTCAATATCGACTCTATCAAAGCGCTTGCGTTTAAGCAAAAAACTGCACAGCATTGAAATGTAACAGGAAAAGACGCGAGAGAATGTGTTATTACATTTTTTTTAAATGAACGTTGCACTGAATATGTAAATTGCTTCGATATACGAACGGCACTAATCTGAACTTGTGCATTTGCTAAAAGAGAGAAGCGCTTTATTTTTACCACGCATCGAAGTCAACGAACAGAGGATTATCGCAGCGGGTCACTTTTGTATGCCTCTTTTTTTTTAGATCAAATAACAAAATTGTTCGTTCGCGAAGGTCACAATTGCAGGACAAAGTGTCCGTTAACGAGAAAATTGAAAGGAGCGGCAGGAACCCGAGGCGAAATCGAGTGACGTTCGTGCCGAGCGATTCTCTCGTTCGCGCGCGAAGTCAATTGAGCCGCTCTTTTTCTCTCGATTTCGGTGGCGCGATTATCTAAACCGCCTGTGAATGAAGAGACGGAGCGTGAAAGATAACTGAGGCTAAAGCCCGATCTACAATGTGCTCCCTGCGTCCGGAAACATTCTATCTCGTGGTCAATAAACGCGTTTAAAAGATTTGCACAAGTAGACAAATCGTACATTGTACGACCGTACGTTGTCGACAAATTTTTTTTTTAAGCGTTCCGATTTGCCTATGCACACGCAAAATGGAATGTTTCCAGATGCAGAGAGCGCACTGTAGATTAGGCTTAATACCAGTGGCGGTGAGCGAGGAGGAAACGGGAACGGCCGGTGGGCACTGCGCGAGCAACTGTACCGGACTGACACGATGAGGCCCGCTTATCGAGAAATCGTATCAATTACGCTGTAATTCAGTATGATATGTCACATGCGACGCGTGCTGCACTGGTCAAGCGGCGACTACTCAATGCTGCGGCCGATCTAACTATTTTAAAGTCGTTCCCACTCCACTTCCGAGGATACCCCGACGGAGGAATTGCGTTACACACGAGACGTTTTCGTAAGACCATTGAACACGGTCGCGACTCAACTAATCTCTCTCTGACCGTTCGATCCTATGGAGGGGGTAGTTGCTCCTTCCAGTATTATCGTTCAATACATAAGACAAACTCTGTAAGGCTTGTCACTACCTTCGGGAATCTAGACTAAACAGTAACGGGAAGTGACGCCGCGCCGCTGAACGAGCGGCGATACAACCGTTCTTTTCAACAATCGCGCAAATTGAATTCGATTTATAGCGACGATCAACGTACGTAACCCGAGGCTTGCGTTTCGTCCAAGGGGGTAACCACTTAATGTAATCATGGGACAGTGTCTCCGAAATCATTATGAAATCATTATAAAATCCTTACGAAATCTCCATGTAATCGTTTTGCTTTCATTTTCAAATTTCCTCACTTGTTAGACAACAAACATTAAATTTGAACATCTTCTCAACTGATTTTCATTGTCCCCAAATATTTACTTCGTTTAGTGAATATTCAAATATATACATCATAGTACACCTATAAGAGTGTTTTGATTTTTTTCATAATAAGACTGAAGTAGTTGCCGTTAGGCATTGATACACCTTTGCGCGCAAAAGAACAAATAAACAGTAGATACAAATATAAAATTACTTCTCGTCAAGACCATGGTTAGACTGGCGGGAAAAGTGGAAAGCGAGGAAACACGTTTTCTACCTAACCGAATACTACAATCTTAATTGAAATTACTTCTACAAGCAAATACTTATTAGTAAAATCAAAGACATAATGTTTTGAGGAAATCTAACAGCTCTTGACAACGTCGCCTATTTTAAAACGTGCATAAGAAAATTATTTGCAATCAGACGAAATTATATGAAATCATATGAAATCAAATGAAATCATGTAATCGGTGGGACAACATTTTAGCTACCCCCTTGGTTTCGTCTTCCGATTCGAAGGCGCGCCTCCGCTTGCGTTTAGGTATTGTATGTAATTTCATACGTATTTTATTGCGTAATTTGTGTACAATGAAATAAGTAATTTTACATATTTCCGCACGGAGAGAATTTCCTCTTGAAAGTTATCCTGAAAATGATGTAATCGCGTGGGACAACATGGCAGTTTGAAGAACTTCAAGAGAACTTTTTGAAATTTTACTATACATTTCACTAATAATATTTTCACTTTACTAGTAAAACACTGTGATCGTGGGATATGGCGTTGAGAACAATTTTATAAGAATTTTACCATATACAATTTTACTAGTGATTATACATTTTACTAGTAAAATTATGTAATCGTGGGACAACATGGCAGTTTGAAGAATTTTATAAGAGGTTTTTGAAATGTTTTAATTGTGCGTGTGTGTGTGAAATGTATGGCAAAATTTCAAAAATTCTTATAAAATTCTTCAAAGTGCCGTGTTGTCCGACGATTATATAATTTTCAAGATAAATTTTCAAAGAAAATTCTCTCCGTACGGAATCTTTAAAATAGGACAAACACTTTAAACAACACGTGTTTAGATATTCTATATATTTTATTGTATAATTTCTTTCATTACTTAACTCGAACAGCTTTTGTATGAAACGTTTTTTATTTGACTAATATTTTTCGAGATATTCAAGGAAAACTTCGTAACTCCTTCAATATTTTACTTTCGGTATCTCGATATCGCACATACCTGATGCTGACGATGATCGCATGCTTATTGCATCTCGTGGAAGCAGTTCGGTATGTGCGGGGGCGACTTCAATGGTCGCCGAGCACCTACGTGGAAGCGGATCGCTAGCGCGAGAGTCCCATAACGCTGATCGCGCACGATATATTACGCTAAACGATAAACGATATGTCGTGCTACGACGAAACACTTCTTCGCGCGCGACAATCTCACTCGCTTTCGCGCGGCGATGCAGGCTGCGGTCAAGCTGCCGCTATCAAACGCTTCGAAGCATTTCCTTATTCTTTCATCTTTACTGAAAGAAAGGAAAAGAAGAATACTACGGAGCATTTGTAGCGGCAGTTTGACTGCAGCCGCACTCGCGACGAACGTGGAAATTGCTTCAAGGACGGATCGTTTCGCTAGACACGGAGAGAATTTTTTCTGAAAATTTACCCCGAAAATCGTGTCATCGTGGGACAATATGGCATTTTGAAGACCTTTATGGGAGTTTTTTGAAATTTTATCATACATTTTACTAGTAAATAACTGCAATGTATTAATATTAAATATAATTATATAATTATACCCCATCATATGTTATATAATTATATAATTATATCACATACCCCATCAACGTGGCCAATATTGACCACTTACCGCGTCGTCGGGCCAGATTGGACCTACCTTTTGTCGCTTCTGGCCACACAGTCTGGTCATTTTGACCAGAGATCAGGAAGGAAGGAAACTCCTTCCATAATCGGTTTTTACCGTCACCGACAGATATTGCGCACGGTTCGAACTCTGCCGCGTTCGCGTATCGAGTACGGGAAGAAATCGCGATTGCTCTCTGCGAATAATTGGTGATCGATATCATTGCGAGATCGCTGATTTTATTTCGTATATCTTAATTAAGTTATTCAATATTGCAGAAGGAAAACTACCGGAAACTATCGAATTTCGCCTCTTCTTTCGACAGGACCCAGACAGCACAGATCTCCTGAAGACGTTTTAAAGACATCCTCTGGACGTCCTTACGTCCTAAGAATGTTCCCAGGACATCCATAGGATATCGTGTGCTGTCTGGGGAGTAAAGCCAGCGGCGATACTACTTTTTTCTACTGGATCGCTTACTTGCGCCGAATCATAAGATTGCACAATTATTCGAGCTTTTTCAATTTTCACTGCCTCGCAACTTCCATAGGTGCGACGCCTGAATAAATTCAACTTTCTTTTTTATCAAACGGGACTTGTGCGCCTTTATTCAATTCTAACAGAGCAAGCTTGAAGGAAAATCTAAATCTTATACCATTAGAATAAGTTACTTTTATTACTCTTCATTATTCGCTTATTTTAGTCAGTAATTATTCATTAAAATAGTATTAGATATAAGAGGGAATAATGCTAAATAATTATATAGTTATAAGGATTACAGATGTAAGAATTAATAATACTTGTGGCGAGAGAAATTCTGCTACGACGCTTCGGAGTTCGGTAAGCGCTCTTATCTCTCGCAACGACGATAGATGCTCGCCGTACTACACACAGAAAAATATTATTGTACAGTCAAGAAAAGTAATTACTCGGTTTATTTTATTCCGTTTAAGTAATAGTTTGCTTTAACAAAGAATACTTTCTTAATAATAGTTTTAAGATATACTTGTTACTAGTCTTAGAAAAGCTTGCCATCTTATACTCAAAGAAAGAATTTATTCTTTTTTGAAGAAAATTATAAAACTTATTGAAGAATTCCGTATGCTTCTTTTAATAAAATCAGAAGAAACAAAATTGTTTTGCTTCAAACAATTCTATGTATTCTTGTTTGAAATACTAGACTTACTAAGAACCAGAATATGTTTTGAGGAAATATAACACTTGCGACGACATTATGATAGATTTGCGGATATATAAACTTATCAAATACTTGGAACAAATAATCTTTACTTGCAGGTAGTATATATTTTTCTGTGTGTAGCGAGCGCTCTACAAAACGGTACCATGATACAATTCGTTCGATTAGTTCTAACCCGTTTTCGGTTTAATGAATTAACTGCTATCGTAACAAGTTATCGTCTAAATTAAAACGTAAGTTAAAGTTTATATATGTACTGCCACATCAAGAAAGACGCAACTGTAATATTTTATAAGGAAGCGTTATAAGCGAAGACCGATAGAAAAGCTTCATTCGAACGATATCAGCGGCCAAGTCTTATCTCGACCAGCTCGCTAATCTCCCATAAACAACGAAGGACCCCCACACCCTGTGGCGGCTATTGGCATACCAAAAGACAGAGGAGACGAGGTTTCCTCCAGCCCTACTACCCTCGCCATGGAGATTTTGCGGACCAGATACCACCGCTTCGTCGTTGTCGCACACGGTTAGTTATTCTTCAACCACTCTACCGCTAAGACGTTCGCTGACTTCACCAAATTTCAACGCATTATTGATTCACCGTATTCTAATTTACTGTGAGGATAGCAGGAGGCATTTCACTCTCTTGTATGGAGGAGCTGAAAGTATCTCGCAATATACAGTATACATATATCTTTTATAAAGAGAATAAGACAGTATCAGTTTTAGGTGAGTAAAGAATTTTGTAATTACTTATACTTTGTTCAGACAGTGGATCACTAATCCCCTAATCCCCAGTAAACCCGGTGAATGCGGGGTGGCTGAAAACTAGGGAAGAGATTAGAATTTACAGGATTCTATAATTTAATAATCTGCTAATTGACTGATTTGACGAGTGATAGCTTATTAATTTCCCTGATTTTGTTCAGTTACGAGTTCTTAGTCTATAACTCGATAATTTCTATAACTCGGTAACATGGGATTGTATCTTCCATCGGTACTGCAGGTATACTGTTTTATCCACTGGCAATACTCGTGGCTACGTAGTTCTACATCACGTTAGACCACGTGCGGGCGCCAGTGGGCAATTGAACCGAAAACGCGGGTGTACATGGCGCATGCGCGCATGTCCGCTACCTCGTTGTTCGCCGAATTTACTTCCGAGAATCTTCTCTGGTGATCATATGTAGGTTTCCATTAGATTCCAGTCGAGGCGGACGAGAATATCGAAAGGGACGTTTAAAGAGAAGAAGGTTGAGGAGAAAACGCGAACGCACTGCCACTAGTCTTGATTTATTTTGTGTTTTGTGACCCATATTTACCTCATAGCCGTCCTGTGTTTGTGTAAGGTTCGAACTTTTGTTACTGTACGCGTGTACTAGCTGCGTTCGACAATTGCAAATCTGAGGCGTCGAAATGATTTTCCTCTCTATCTCATTTACCTCTTTCGCTCGCACGAACGCAAGGGAACACTCGGACGCCTCGGATTTGCAACGCCGAACGCAGCTATTGTAGTAGAGGAAAGTCCTCTGTTACGAGATAAGCTTCTAATATGAGACAGCATGTTTTCAATGTCCAAATTCAATTACAAATCTACTTTAGCAACGAGTACGCGATCTAACGATCAACTTTCCGCCAAGCAGATTTCACTCCAAGGGCAATAAATCCATGGTGGGACCAACAGATAATGCCAAATAATTCAGCAGAAACTCCTATCCCATATTAGGAGCCTATCTCATAATAAAGGATTTTCCTCTATATATTGTAATATCAACACATGAGACATAAGAGCAAGATCACACCCTGAAAAATACCAAGCTTCCCCTTTCTTGACCACTCTTGCCTCTCTGATTCCTTTTTTGGAATGCAAGTATCCCATATTTAAAAAAAAAACCCTATTTCCATCTTGAAAGGTTGAGAGAACTAGTGTTGACTCTCACATTCATTTCGAGGATACTCTTTGCTAATAATCAAAATAGCAAACTTGTAAGTTTACAACGTAAACGTGTCCTTATTACCTCGAGTTGCAAATACCTCGAGCCAGAAGAACTCATTCTGTCGCAAGAAATGTGAAATGAAACCAAGTTAAAACGACAAAGTCGACGTCTTGACATAAATTTCGCTTAACAGTCGCGTCGTAGACTTTACAAAAGTTTTTAGAACCAGCAGGAACTTGTAAGCTTGTGGATGCTTTGGAATTTAGCTCGAGTTTTCAATATATCTAAGTAGATTTTATTAATTTAACGAATATAATAAATGGTATTTTAAACAGATCCATAGATTGCAACAATGGACCCCAGTCTAGTGGACCGTATTCTGAACATGCACAAATCATGCGAGCCCTTCAGCATACCTGTGCCACCTCCCACTGTTCGGAAAAGGGAGAGCAGTGTTGAATTGTACGAAGACTCGCGTCCTCAAGCTGACGAATGTATAGAGTCGGAAACGGACTATATAAAGGAGTATATACGGAAAGACGACGAGGAATACATCAAGGTGATTAACTTTAAGATGCCAGACTTAGATCAGATTAACTCCAGGGGCCAGTTTCACAAACGTCGGTCAACTGTTAACCAGAGTTCAGTCAACTCCCTATCTTTTCCTATCTTATTGTCTAGATAAGAGACAGAGAATCAATTAACTTTCGGTTAGCAGTTAACCGTCGTTTGTGAAACTCGCCCTAAGAGACCAAAAGTACATCACCTTTAGGTTTTCTCAACGTAACTTTCGTCAAAGTGCATCGAATGTGCTCGAAATTGTACAGTAGACGCCCTGATAATAGGTGCACCTTGTACGTGAAGTGTAATGAAATTTGACAAGAGACACCGTGATTTTTCCAATTTTTCATTCGTGCACTTCAAGAAAAATCGAAAGGTGATACAATTTTGGCCGGTGCTGTAACGTAACGATAATTGCGGTCTGTATTTTGCTTGTCTCATTCCTCCCTGCCACTTTTTGCAGATAAAAAATAGTATATTTCTCGACAACGATCATATGGATGAAGTGTCGGAAGTATCTGGAGAGACGATTGTTCGCAAGGAGAATACCATGCGGCTTTACCGGATGTTCAACTTCGCCTATCGGCCTAACGTTAATCTGCCCATTCTCTCGATGAAGCACAAAGTCGTGTCCATGATCGCGAGCAATTCCGTCGTCATCATTCGCGGTTCCACGGGCTGCGGGAAAACGACACAGGTGCCGCAGCTTATTCTCGACGCCGAGTTCGAGAAGAAGCAACACTGCAACATTATAGGTACCTCGTCGTATCTGGAGACGCGCTGCGAACGTTTAAGCGGGACGTTACTTCAATTCCGTCGGCATTTTTTGTAAAACGTAACGCGAGAGCGTTTGTATTTTGCAGTGACGCAGCCGAGGCGCATCGCCGCTCTGAGCATCGCGAAACGCGTCAGCGAGGAGAGAGATTGGCCCGTCGGTACAATCGTGGGATATCAAATGGGCCTGATCAGGAACATAAGCCAGGACACTCGCATAACGTACTGCACGACCGGCGTGCTCTTGAATAAGCTCACGAACAAGAAGCATCTGATGGACTACACTCACATTATACTGGACGAGGTCCACGAGCGCGACGAGGACATGGACTTCCTTCTGCTCGTAATCAGAAAATTGTTGCGTACAAATTCCACGATGGTGAAAATCATACTGATGTCCGCGACGATCGACGTTGATCGGTTTTCCGCGTATTTTTCCACGCCCGTGGAAAATCAACTTCTGCCCGCACCGATCATCGAAATAGTCAAGGGTGGCCTTTACGATGTCTCTGTATATTACTTAAACGAGATGGACAATCTGGGTAACGTAAGTATAGATTTTCTCGCACGACTAAAGCGCGATCGAACAACGATCGTTTCAGTATTCAAGAGCCAGGCACGATCGTTATCCACTTTGGCGAAGGAGAAAGGACAGAATATTGCGCGTTAGCAAAATTCTCTATTCTTAAATTCGAGGCTGCCATTGCTCATAATTGTCGCAAGTGTTAACGTGTCGATAAATTTCTGCTTGTATTTTAAAGGCGGATCGAAAGTATCCCAGCCATGTACACGCGATGAGAATACGATTAATTTCTTTTTCATTTTTATTTCCTATTTGATTAATTTGATCAATAGGGAGGCAATTATGGAAGATATGAATTGGGTTTTTCGACAGATTCCCGAGGTAGACAGGGAACCGAAATTCACGCTCGCCATGGCAGAGTTTTCAGCGCGTATTATACATGTTTTCGACAGTATTGATAAGAAGAACAGTGATACAAGTAATGAGTACGAGAGGTCCACTGTGTTGATGTTTTTACCGGGATATGGCGAAATCGAAGAGTTGCGTACCGTGCTCTTGTCGCCAAAGTACGCAGACACGAATTGGGATATAATTATTTTGCATTCGTTGATCTCGACCGAGGAGCAGGAAAATATATTTAAGAAGCCACCGCCGAATTCCCGGCGTCTCATACTGTCGACGAATATCGCCGAGAGCAGCATTACCGTGCCCAACGTTAAATACGGTACGCCGTAATCAGTCGGACTAATTTTATCCATCCGAATCCAACTACTTGCGGATGTATAATTCTCTTGCTTTTTTTTGTTGTTTAGTGATCGATTTTTGCCTGACCAAACTTCTCGTCACCGAGCCTGGAACTAATTACCAGTGCCTGGAGCTTTGTTGGGCGAGTAAATCACAGTGCCAGCAACGTGCTGGTCGTACGGGCCGCGTGATGGACGGTAGGGTGTACAGAATGGTGCCGAGAGAGTTTTACGAGGTGAGTACAGATCTTGGGGGGGTCAATTCTGTATTTTAGAATACAGTGGAAATGTTGGAAGTGGCTTTGTCTCTTTCTAAGAGGACGGTTAGAGAGAGACAGTGCTACTCGCTTTTAGTATTTTCACTGTAGTGTAAGATACAGAATTGATCCCCGACCATTGACCTTAACTCGTCGCAGAATCTGTAAATCATATTATCCACGATGAAATTACAGAAGGTTTTGCAAGAAGAGGCTGTTCCGGAGATGCTCAGAGCTCCGCTCGCAAATGTAATTCTCAAAACAAAACTGTTGGGCATGGGCGAGCCGAAGGCTCTCCTCGCCCTTTCTCTGGACCCGCCCAATCTCAGCAATATACGGAACACTGTATTGTTATTGAAGGAAGTCGGCGCGTTGCTCAACAGAAGCGGGCAGGAATTGGACGGGGACATGACGCCCTTGGGTCGCGTAATGGCCAATTGTCCGTTAGACGTGCGCGTGACGAAGCTGATTGTTCTAGGTCACCTTTTCGGCGTCCTGTCGGACGCAATCATCATCGCGGCCAGCATGGCCGTCAAAGACATATTCAACATCGGATTTTTCGAGTTGGAATCGACCTATCACGAGAAACTGCACTGGTCCGCCAATTCCGACAGCGACTGCATAGCCTGCTTGAACGCCTTCAAAGTGTGGCGAAACGATAAGGCGCATCGCCGTATAAATAGTCCTTTCGAGGAGAAGGAGTGGGCGCGACGGAAGAGCCTCCGCGTGCGATCGCTGCGCGAGATGGACGCCTTTATATTCGAGATAACGCAGAAGCTGCACGATTTCGGCATAACCGAGATAATGAGCTCCGATACGAACACCTGGGAGGCCCTCAACATCGATCGTACTTTTGTACTCAAGTTCATAATCGCCGGTGCATTTTATCCTAATTATTTCGTCAAGTTCCCGCATAAAGTGAAAGAACACGAGCAGGCTATAGAGAGAACCCTGGCTTCCCGCGACCCGTCGAATACAATTTTCCTACACGGCTGGCCGTTAAGGCAACCTGGTTCGCTGTACTCAAAGAAATTCCAAGAGATCTTTGGAAATCGCATGAAGCTCAAGAACTACGAGAACATAACTGTGTCCTTCGACGGGTCAAGCCGCGTTTACGTCGAATACGAGGCGAAGAATCGCGCGCCGGCCGACAACACTTTCGTTCGAGATTGCGTCAAGATGCGGCACTGTCGGAACCCGATTGAGATAGACTTGTTGAGCGAGACGGACGCTCGCTGCCAGGCCGAGGACCTCGGGCTCACGAAGGACTACGGCAGAATTCTGTTTCAGCCTTCCAATCCGGGGGAACCGCCGTGCAGACGATACATGTACGACAAGAAGCCGTATCCGGATTTACCGGAGTACTCGGGGTATCGGTCCAAAGTGAGGCTGCAGGGTCCCTTCTCGCCGATAGAGATTCAACTGGCCCATATTGTGATCAATGGAATAACGAAGACCGTGAGCGTGGAGAGCACGTCGGTGAATTCCGTTCTGCTCGACAGCTGCCCGGATAATCCGAATGGACTTTTCCTGGTGGCGCAAAACATCGTGCGAGATTCCAAAAATCCGTCGCACCTAGTTCTACGAAATACAACCCTCCTGCCTATCACGCCCGGTCTCACGTCGCTCATCGCTTTAATCTTCGCACCGTACATGGAACTACGCCGTAGCCCGCTGGGCACTTATTACACGGGCGCTCTGTGTGGACTGGGATACAACCGTATCACGGAAAAGAGCTTGTTTCCAGAGCACGATCTGGAAATTCTATTCGACGTCGAGTTCACGATAAGCGACTTGCGAATGGTACGTAGTCTAATACTCACAATTTTCACGTTTATGACACACCCACATTCGACCTGGAATTTTTCCTTTCGCCCGCAATTCGTACAAATGTAAAATTGAGGCAGTTAAGATGAATCGTAAACATTCTGTTGGCAGATCAACAAGTTGCGCCACTGGATGAATCTGGCGATGAACTTCAATCACAGATCTGACATTGTAGACGACGAGGCTCATCATGAGATGACTGCAAATTGCCACAGCGTAATAAGAAATACGTTCAAGAATGTGATATACAAAACCCGTGAGAAGATAGAGCCTGTCCCGGTCAGTAATTTTGACAAGTGGAACCGATACGACGAGACCCTGTTTCTCGTGCCTGCTCGGGAGACCTCGAGGAATACTATTGTATACAGTTTACACAAGGCGTTGGAATTGAATGAGAAGAACGACGAACTGGAAGACATGATCAAGCATCTGCTAGAGTTAGAGACTTTAGCTTATCAGTGAGTGATACACCATTGCAGCTCTATTTTCATCATTCGGCAAATCGCTTGAAAAATTATACCCTTAAAACAAAACGTTTTCCATTGCGTTGTACTCACTAGAACGCTTTCGAATCAAATACAATGTCTCATTACTAATTCTCGCAAACAGTGCGTGTTACAAAGTATTCAAAAATTTTTTCACGTAAAATATCGTGTGTTTGAGCAATCAATTGGAAAACATGTTTTTTTTTTACTCATGTAACTCTCAAACATTTAATCAAGCGTAGTGTATTCCGTTAAAATCAGATTATTCAAAGTACATTGTTCTCTGTCGATATTAATATTTTATTTTCTGCCCGTAGAGACCCGCGTGAGACGAGCATTGCGTCCGTGTGTTGTAAATTGTGTCAGACGGAAGTAACGGGTATCATCAATCTTCGTGCGCATTTGTGTTCGGCGGAGCACGCAGCGAAACAACAATTGATTGATACAACCGCTGAATTTGGAGAAGCCCTGCAGAGTCTTTTAGATAAGCTCAGGCTGTAATCTAATAAGTAAATCTGACAGTTGCATTTGTCTAATTTTTCTTCTCCGAAATATCCGATAAAATTTATCTGACCGCGACTTCGTACAGTTTTACGAATCGTACCAAAGTGTATTTTGTGATAATTACAAGGTTATTTGTTTCATATCTACGAGTGAAGTATGTACAATATGTAACTATATTGTAAGAGGAGAAATGATAACTTTTTCTTATATTTTTTTATAAGTAAAATATTGTTTTACTGCAATACCTTATTTTTCTTTTACTTATGTACAAAAATGAAGTTTATTTTGTATTAAGTACAGCGTTATTTGTTATATATCTAGGAGCTCATCATAACTCTAAGATATGAAAGAGATAATTGCTTTTTCTCATTGGTATCGTCTTTACATTCTTATTTCACAATTAAATTGTAAGAGGAGAAATGATTACTTTTTCTTATATTTTTTATAAGTAAAATATTGTTTTACTGCAATACCTTATGTTTCTTTTACTTATGTACAAAAATGAAGTTTATTTTGTATTAAGTACAGCGTTATTTGTTATATATCTAGGAGCTCGTCATAACTCTAAGATATGAAAGAGATAATTGCTTTTTCTCATTGGTATCGTCTTTACATTCTTATTTCACAATTAAATACATGTTAAATTTTTTTACAATATTTTCAAATTAACATACCAATTTAGCTGACTCTTTTGAACATTCGAGTTTTTCACAGATGTATTATACATATACAATATATGCGATGTATTTTACATTTGTATTAAATTTTTTTATCAAATACATAACGAAATTATAATTACAAATTATAATTGCTTAAATAAAATTACATTGTACGTAACGTTTCACGTAATAACCTTTAAATTACTGTGACTCGTGCAGGATATAGAAGTTGAATTTTATACTTTATATACAGGGGGTTAATTAAAGACCGCCCACTAAGTACATAGAGTTATTCCTTATAAAAATCTGAGTCGAAAAGTCCTGAACCATTTTTTTTTCTATCATGCTTAAGTGGTACATTTTATTGATTCCCCTTAGGATTACAAGGCGTTTTTGAAGGAACGTGCCCAAACCTCTTATAACACCTCTCTCTATATCCACTTCGCTATGTGGCGATCGAACGAAAAACCAACGTTTTTGTTTGGTTTTAAACCCGGGTCTTCGGATTACCAGACCAGCGCACAATCCTCTGCGCCACGATCGCCACATATGCTTAATAATAAATGAGTTTATTAAGTCAATCCACTGAGCGCCGCTCGGCCGCCGGCCAAAGGCCGGTGCTCAGTGGATTGACTCATTCATTATTAAGCATGATAGAAAAAATGGCTCAGGACTTTTCCACTCAGATTTTTATAAGGAATCCCGCTATGTACTTAGTGGGCGGTCTTTAATTTTAATTAACACCCTGTATATTGTACATATATGTATACTGACATTTATATTTGTCATGTTTAATGGAACTTATCATTTAACAGGAAAGCTTTGTCAGTTGTCAATTATAACGCGAGTCGCGATAAATTTTTCTAAAATAACGTATTGACGCATGTAATATGCTTCAGTTGTGTTATTCGCAGCTGTCGAACCATGTGAATTTTTAGTGAGAGCAAATGGCGCGCGCAGAGCGCGCGCTTGTGTTGTCTAGTACATAACAAAATTTTTGAAAAGTGAAACGGTATTATGCACGTGCAAATATTTAATATATATATTTATTGAAAATAACAAAAAAAGTTTTAGTAAAACACGAAAATATGTTATTCCTATTTGGTTTCAAATAATTAATTTTTCACATGTCTCAAGCATGCAATGTGCTTCCACGACTTTATATTTTACAAAGAAAGTATAAACAAATGTAGGTTAATCATTAGCCGTCAATACTTTACTGAACGCGTATTGCATTTTAATGCTTCATATCCCGCATAAAAGAGTTTAAGATCAAAATCTTCATTAAGAGAAATACGACTCTATAGTTCTCGTTGAAGGAAACGAGCTCCAGGTTGCGGGTACAATAGCCTACCAGGTACATTGGCAGCTGAACCGCTCACGTAGGTACCAGGGGACGGAGACGGTGGCGGCGGATATGAGCTAGGTGGGGGCGGTTGAGGTGCTCGTACAGGGTAACCTGAAGTAATCCCGCCTGTCTTTGCACCCTTAACAGAAAAACACGGAAGCTCAGATACACGCAAACTTTCACGTTTTTTTTTTTAACGAACTCAATTACTGCAATAATATATTTTGCAGAATGTACAAAACAACTGCTGCCGAACTTGGCCAGATTTATCCTGCCCCGATTTTGTCAGCAGCTGTTTTGCGTAAAACGCGATAAGAGAACAAAGGATAATGGAGTGTTTGGGCTGCACCTGAGGTGGTTGTTGAATCGGAATAGCTCCACCGTGGACAGTAACGTGATTTGCCGGTCGCATGTAGTACTTCTCGTCGTAGGCGCTCTTGTGCTCCATCGAGTGTAAGTTGGTTACGTATGCTACAAACCATAATTTTTTTTTTTAAGAATAAAGTTTCACGAAATCTTGTTTTGAACTATTGCCATTTAACCGTCGTCACATTTCTTATTTAAACGTTATCTTAGCCCCGAGTCTAACGTCCCCTTAATTTGCAGCACATTTTTTCCTGCTTTTCTTTCAGTCTCGAATTCAATTGCTTACTTCTGAAGTAACGCAATACTAGAATCAACATCGATTGACGAGGCGGACTGCCATTACCTGTCTGATGTGTGGGTAATGGCGCTCTACTGCCCGAGAGGTAAACGGGTTTGGCCGATTCCGAGGGCTCTCGAGATGGTTGCGACACGGGTGCGGAATAACTGTAAACGCTCTGGCTTGCGGGCGCCGAATAAAAGTTCGATGCGGAGTACTGATTATTCTCTGTCGGACGAAAAGGAAAAGCGATTAAGGCGAATGATCGGACGTATGAAAACGGTGGAGAACAAATCAGATCTTTCACTCGAGAGAGCAAAGGAGAGAGAGGACAAAAGAATTATTCACTCACTGTTCCAAAGAACTGCCCGGGCGTCGCCGGATCTTCTGGCAGCCTCCTCAGCTTCTACACAAGTACAAGTACATAGCACCAATATTCAATACCATCTTCCCGACTTAAATAATATAAGGGAGAAAATTGTAACGTTATCATTTAAAAATTAATTTGTGTGCTACTTGAACTAGTCTTTTCCCCTTTAAGACTTTGGTGGCCATTGGCCAACGAATATAAATGAATGCGCGATCTTGTAAGATGCACAATTCCATCCACTCACTAGGAGGTGGTGGATTGTAACTTGCGATAGACAGCGGCGGTTTGTAACTGTACGCGCTGTGATAGGAAGACGCAGTAGGCGGCGGCGACGGAGTGCGAGTTCTTTTTATAGTTCCCTGAAGACACAAGAATTTGGAAATGCATAATTTACTCTTAAAAAACACACAACAAAGTACACGTCAACGAAAGTGCCTTACACTTGACAACAGGTGTGTTGGCGTACCGACGGCGACCTTGTAGATAGGACTGCTGCTGCGTGGCAACGGTAGAAACAATTGCGAGTGTGCCACTCTTGGGCCTGTCACGGGATATCCTCCCACTGTCGTCGAAACTTCCGAGCAAACACTGGAAAGCGAGATCTCGTCGTACAAGTATTTCACATATAGTCAGAGCTTGGTATGGTTTTTTCTTTTTAAAGATACCGAGACAGGTATAGCTGCAGACACAGCTACTGTCTACGTATCTGTATCTTTCGCTGGAAAAGCAATTCAGTGCATCTTGCATCTAAATCTAGGGAATTCAAGAAATGTAATTTGTATCTCTTCACTGAGTCCGTTGAAAATTTATCTTGTACCTGTACGTTTGATGAAAAACAGTGAAAATTCCAAGCGTATAGCGAACGTACATTATTAATTCCCGAACGTTTCCTTTGAACATTTCAACTGGAATGCAAACCTGGTTTCTTTTATGAGCTGCCTCCTCCTGTCATCCTCGTTCAGAACCTTCTTCAGTTGCAGGAACAACTGATGCTTCTCCGCCTTCAACTGTGACAGTTCGTTGTCCAGATTTGAGATTTGTTCACGCGTCTCGCCCAGTGTCATCACGTCCTGCTTCTGCTGGCGCTCTCTCTCCTTGCGTAAACGCTCCTCCTCGGCGTCAGCCTCTTGTTCTGAAACGCAATGTGAGACGTTAACTTGAACACCTGAACGGGACTCTTGATTGAGTCCCTTCGAAGAGACTCCAGCTAAGTACATAAAAATGTGGTTAGAAAGATTGGACCGAAAGATAAGCCCATAAATAGCCTGAAATATATATGTGGAGTATTTAAATTGCAACAGAAAGGTCGGTACACATTCAGTACCTTGTTTCTTTCGTTGTCGTTCTCGCATAATATGAGTCTTGAGCGCCTGCCACATTTGCTCATTGCGCTGCGGCGGTCCGACTAGTATCGCCGGCATTTTTCTGGCAGCGCCTAATGATTCCTCGCTACCCGGCGTTATGTATTTACTGAATCGCCAATTAGTTCAATTCTCCCTAGTCGCATTAACTAATTCAGGCAGTGTTTCGGAGTTCCATTCTTCTGACAGACGGATGAGACGGATCCTGCGAAAGGTTAAAATATACCCATAGATACAGGAATATCAGAGATGGAGCGCGTTTTGTCCATAGACATAATATATCTAGACCGCAAAGGTAACAGCACTCATGGGGTCTGTTCTTTATAGCTGAACTGGCTGCACTAGTTCAGCTATAAAGAACAGACCCATGGTCTAGCGAGACAAAGAGGCCTATAGTCGCGTGCAGCTGTTCGAGCAAAGTTTGTTAGATCGACGCCAGTTACTGTATTTATAACAAAAAAGAATAAGAAAAATGGGTGGAACCTGTGTTGTATCTGATTGTAAAAGTACAAATATGAAGTCAGCAAAAACAGCAGAGCAACTTGCTGTTGAAAGTACAAAGAGAATATCATTCCACAGGTGCGTATAACCTTACATTTGCATGATGTCTGTAAACTTAACTCCGAATTGGTTTTTTAAATATAATTTATAATAGCTGCTTTCCTTTTACACTCAAGTGATACTGAGTCACTCAGTTATGTGAGTATTTTATACTCAGATATGACGTCATTAATGTGAGTCTGTAAAGGCTGGTCTACAATACATGGAGTAAGCTGGAGTAAGCTGGAGTAAGCAGTAGGAGTAAGAAATAAAATCCATTTTATTTCCTTACTCCTACTCCTTACTCCAGCTTACTCCATGTATTGTAGACCAGCCTTTAAACTCACTAAAGCACACAGTCTTGATCGTGCGCAAAAACTCAGTTAAATCTGGTTGAATCTCACTTCTCAAGAATCAAAAGGAATATGCATTCAACGTTGAGTTATGACGTCACAAATGAGATTTATCTGAGTTTTTATGTAAAAGGAAAGCAACTAATGTCTCGATAACTGTTTGTCGAAGGGAAAAGTAGTACGGGACTTTTTTTACTTGATTTAGTCTCAGGAATATGCTGTTGCAATGGTTTATGTATTGTAACATAAAATTTTCAATAATTGGAGCACCATTGCAACAGCCTCTTCCTGAGACTAAATCAAGTAAAAAAAAAGTCCTGTACTACTTTTTCCCTCCAACGAACAGTTATGGAGATATCATAAACTAAACATTGAAAAAGTTATAAATTTTCTCTTGAACATCTCAAAAGGTATTAGACAAATCAAAAAATGTTTCAGACAAAAGTTGTTCGTATTATGTATTAATTAGTAGAATGAGATAGTATAATAAACAATAGGGAGTTCCATTTTAAAAAATGACAGCGACTTCCATATAACCATAAGAAATTTATTGTTTTCGAAAATTTATTTTACCATTACATGGTCCTTTTAAAACCGTATAACTTTTGTCTGAAAGATTTTTCTGTATCTTCCATATTTTTCGAGATATTTCACCGGTCCGGTACTTTTTCCTCACCCTGTATAATATGTGTGTGTTCCATTGAATCTGCACTATTATTTATTACACTGGTACAGTTTTTATAGAAACCTAGCACAGTGCTGGGTGCTGCACCAGTTTTCCCCATGGAAAACGCTATAAGAGTAATTCAAATGATTTATCAATATTATTAATATGAACTACTCACGTCCCATACAGCACCAGAGCTTTCAGAAACATTTCAGAAACATTGCAACATTGCAACAATGTCTTCTGAAATGTTTCTGAAAGCTTTGGTGCTGTATGGATTATGTGCGAAACAGTAAAATGTACATAATATAACTTGGATTATAATCTTTTCTTTACGCCCGGTCTACAATGAGTTGTTAGTCGTTAGTCAGAAGTCGGAACTATATGTCGGTCCTTTTTCTTCCACCCAGAAAGGAAAAGGATCAACATATAGTTGCGACTTCTGACTAACGACTAACGACTCATTGTAGACCGGGCCTTACTGTAAAACATAGTTAAATTTACTTTCTTTGTGTAATTACCGGATTATATTCAATTATCTGGTATTATCCGGTTATCCGGCGAATACATTATCCGGCACGCCCTCAATAATTTATATTATATCTTATAAGGTAATCTTTTTGCAGGTTTCCTACTGATGCAGTTCAAAGAGCAAAATGGGCGAAGATATTAAATATAAAGAACGAGGCTATAACTAAAAAAGACAGAAGCGTCGTTTGCTCTTTACATTTTAATGAGAAATTTTTTGACCGGTCATGTTCAACAAAGACAATGTTGAAAGCAAATGCTGTACCATGTGTAAGTAATTTATATAACTTTTGGTAATTCTTCAGTATAGCTCCAGCGCCTCAAAAATTTATAAAATTAGTTTCAATCGACGCATTTTTACATAAAACTGAAGAGTCTGGCAGAAAAAAGTGTCGCTTTGCTCCGCGAAGCGAGATATTAATTGGTAAAGTTGACAACTTTTAAGGCGTTTTTTTGGTAACGGACTGGTAACGACGTTACATTTTTTCTTTTGTAACTGTAAAGGTGGGGCCCAATCATGTATCGTATTGCCGTATCATATCATGATCGCCTTTTATCATGATACGCTGATTATGATCATACGGCAAGCTCTTGTTTTCAGCTCGTATCCGTATCATTTATCTAGTTTTCCACCTAGTACAGTTCGTATCATTTCACGTTGCCTACCGTGATAAAGATCGGGCACGCGTCTACACTGCCAGCATCTGTATCACGTATCATTTCTTTGGTGTTTCTGTAAAATACCGACGCCAAGTGAATCATACTTGTGTCGTATCTGCGTATCATCTCGATACACAGATGCGACACGAGATACGGGCCTAGGTTTAGATAGATGGGTTATCCGTCATTAAAATAATATGATAAAACCTTTTTAAAAGTATCAATATATAATTATAGGTACTTAAAAATTCACCGTACTCCAAAGTGACCTGTAGAAGTATTGGCAATAACAAAAAAAGTTCCTCTACAAGAAAGATAAAAAACGCAAAGTGTGAGACCGTTCAGGATGTGAAAAAGAGTAAGTAATAGACATGAACAACAGATGTGGAGAATATATTAAATCTAATTAAATGTAAAATTAAAGAATAATTATTAAATATTAAGACTGTTTGATTTTGGACTTGTTTAAGAAATCTATTTTTATTATAAAAATTTATTTCAGCACCAACATCAACTGAACTTCCGAGCAATAATATAAAGGAAGGGGTTGCTGAAGAGATGGATATTGAAGAAGCTATCGGACCAATTGTTAAGCAGGAACACATTATTGCAGAAAATGATGAGGAATATGATTCTTTCACGCAAAATGATTACATGCAAATTCCTGTTATTCGTAAGTTTCACAAATTATGTATTTTTGGTAAATATGGAGAATTGGCGCTCGAGCAGAAATCGCTTTGTGTTAAAACCTTGCTTACATGTGTCTTTATAGTTGGTTTTGTTGATTGTCACAAAAATCGCGATTCAGCAGCGACAATTTTGCACATTTACCGTATTTTTAAATCATTTTTTAAATTATTTCATATGTATCAAAAATATATAAAAAATGCAAATGATTTATATTCCAGAAGCAGTATATGGTGAAGAAAACATGCCGGTCTCTTTATTCCACGAAACGTACGGGATGCCAAAAATATCATTGGAAAGGATACAGCATTCGTATAACAATGAAATGAAGGATGTAACAAATACTATAATGATCGCTAACTTGTATCAAGAAATTGGCAATTTAAAGGATGTTGTTTGGGAAACAAACAAAAAAATTCTAATGTTGGAAAATGTTCTCAATGAATTAAGAAATTGAGACATTGATTATGTACAGAACACGAAACTCGAAATATCATGACATCATTGTGATTTTATATTTATTATGGTGGTTCTCCTGCATGAAAGAGTGGACAGTATGGCTGCTTTGGTGGAGTTCCTTTTGCATCTTCAGATATTTTTATTCTTGTTTTCTGTTAATCTACTTTTTCTATGAAATGATATTAATTGTAACATTGGGTGCTTTTGTGAGTGATCGGCTCAGAATCCCTTTGATGAAAGTAAAACTTTAATATTTTTCTCTTTTTTTTACTTCATCGACAATCAAATTTAAAAATTTGCGCCCTGACAAATAAAGCTTGCTACTACAACATACTTAAGTTTCAATTTTTCCTACTTTTTGTCGGTTTATGCAGGAGTAGGGTTACCATAATAAAATTTTCAGAACTAGAACTTATAGTTTAAAAACCCCGGACATTTCGTTTGCTGCCCCGGACACATACAAAAATGCACGCACACGCACACACACACAGTTTAGCAAATTAATTATAATAATTAAATTATTTTACATCTCGTTTTTATTATATTATATACTTAAGGAAAAATGAAAAAATTAAACCTTTGATAATTTTTTACTGGAACCATAAACTGATACATACAAACATACATTAAATTATCATTTTTAATTGCTCTTTACTGATGTCAGATTCGAGATACACGACGCGCACGCACAGAATCGTATAGCGTTTTCGATTGTAGCGGATTTGATCTACCCGAAGTCGATTAATAACGTTCGCCAATCACAGCTATTTATTTTTCAAAGAAATTGCTGTGGTTGGTCAATGATGTCATTAATCGACCTCGGGTCGATCAAATCTGTTTCATTCGAAAACGCTAGTAGTGGAGCTATAAATATTTTTAAACCCCGGACCAATCCCGGACACATTCGAAAAATCCCCCCGGACGTCTTAAAAAAGAGGACGGTGTCCGGGGAAAAGAGGACGGATGGTAACCCTATGCAGGAGCCACCTTAAAAGTTACAGTATCAAGTGTGAATAACATAATTATTTTTTACCTTTTTTTGATAATAAAATTTTTGTATTGAACTTGCACATCTCAGTCATCTTTTCCACACCTGTAGACAACCCTCTGATACCTATCAGACTGTCGAAATGCATTGCTGTGAAATTGCGACGGAATACGCTTATATAAAGCCCGCTGCAGACGATGCTATTTTTCCTGCTGGATTGCTTGCAATTTAGTAAATTACTAGGAATCCTGAATGCTGAGTGGTGCAATGATAATAATTTACTAAATTGCAAGCAATCCAGCAGGAAAAATAGCATCGTCTGCAGCGGGCTTAAGTGTTCGGTTCACTTTTTGATTGCTCATAATCTGCGTATGTATGTACATCCTAATGACGTTCTATGATTTTTATATATTTTAACTCCAACTTGACTTCATTTTGTAACGTCTCGTCACCGTTCAAATAATGACTCAGCGTTTTTTAATCATATTGTCGCGTCGAATGAATCCAATTTCATCGATTTTGGAGGCAAGGGAGCTAAACTGAATAATTACCATGCACTTTATAAAGTGCGCGGAGTGACGAAAAATGCCGGACCAATCACAACACTCCGGCCAGCTTCAGGCTTTAAGTTCAGGGTGGTCAAGCGTTCTGTAGGTTATGTCAGGTTGTGTGTTTGTTGTATGTACAGCTTCTGCATAGAGGTCTGTGGTTTCTTAGCAATTCTTCATTATTTAAAATTGGTTTTAGTACGTTAAATATACGTTTTAAACATTTAAGGAATTGCGCTGCAGGTAATACATAACGAAAGTAACAATCTGCGTATAAATATTTCATTAAAATTGAATAGGGATACAAATTTTTACAAGAATGTAAATTTTGAGGTAACAAAAATCTTTGGCTCGAGTCTTTTGAAACGATGAATCTGCCATATATTAACAATATCTTACAAATTGAAATTCAAGCCATTATCAGAACTCTCTTCTACAATTTGTACATTATTCATTGTAAAAACTGTCAGACTATGATTTTTAAAGCGTTACTTTTAAGAGACTCGTCTAACATAACATTTTTATCTAGGATTTATAGCGAAAAATTTGGTGGAAGTGTCAAGAGACTCGTGTATTTGCAAGCTGTAATCGGAGTGTTTCAGCGAAACATGGCGCACTACAAAGGAGCAGCCAGCGAAGCTGGCCGGGCCATGCAGCTGATGAAGAAGCGAGAGATCGCGCAGCAGGAGATAGAACTGCGAAAGAAGAAAATCGAAGATGACCTGAAGATACATAACATAGAGAACAAGTTCGCCACCCATTACAACGCCGTCGAGCAACAATTGAAGACCTCCACAATTGGTCTGGTCACGTTGAACGAGATGAAGGCAAAGCAGGAGAACATAGTGAAGGAACGCGAGAGGAAGCTCGCTCAGAAAGAACGCGAGAGGGAACAGGAAAAGGAACGGGCGTTAGCGGCGAAGCAGGCGGAGAAGAACAAGCAGAAGAGGCAGATTCAAGCTTTGTCCTTCAATCTGGACGAGGACGAAGCTGAAATTTCCGACGAGGACACCGAGGAAGAATCCACGAGATCAGAAAGCGTGCAGTCTAACGATCTGATCAAGAAGATCAAGAAGAATCCGGATGTAGATACGAGTTTCCTGCCGGATAGGGAAAGGGAGGAGGAGGAAAATAAACTTAGGGAGGAATTGAGGCAAGAATGGGCCAGGAAGCAGAACGCGCTGAAGGAAGAGGAGATTGAGATCACATTCAGTTACTGGGACGGCTCCGGCCATCGTCGGAGTGTCATAATGAAGAAAGGTGAACATTTCAATGACGTAGAGAAATGTAAATTGTTAAAATACTCCTCGCGTCTGATTTACACGCGAAACGCAAGCAAAATTTTCGCAAACTTCATATTGTTTCTTCGGAGTATTGGCGTACTTATAATCAATGTTTTACTGTGTAAGTTTGTTGATAATTTCTTCTTTTGCATACAGGTAATTCCATCTATCAGCTTCTTCAGAGATGTTTGGAGGTTCTGAGGCGCGAATTCAGCGAGCTTAAAACAGTAATGGCTGATCAGTTGATGTACGTCAAAGAGGATCTTATATTACCGCACCATTATACATTCTACGATTTTATCGTAACTAAGGTGAGGGTAATAAATGACGAAGTTTATTAAGCAACATCACAGCGTTGGCATTTCTCATTTCGATATATATACAATATATATGTATATATAATATTGCGATTAGGCACGAGGAAAGAGCGGGCCCCTGTTCACGTTTGACGTTCACGACGATATTCGAGTTATGCACGACGCCTCTGTCGAAACTGAGGAATCGCATGCTGGAAAAGTGTTACTCAGGTATTTATCATTAAAGGAAATATTTTGTATAACTTCTTTAATATAGATTTTATTATTCTCTCACACGGTTCTTTTTATATTTTTAGATCGTGGTACGAGAGAAACAAACACATTTTTCCAGCGAGTAGATGGGAACCCTTCGATCCAACGAAAAGTTACGACAAGTATACAGTGTCGGATAAAAATAGGAAAAAGGATAAAATGTGATAAACTTAAAAATCAACAGACTGACCAATTTCGTTTGAAGAATTCTCAAACTGAAATTCAAGAGACACTGTAAAATATAACATTGATGAAAAATTTTGTTTCGTCGTATAATTGATTGTAAACAGATTGTAATATAAACCTGTATATATTGTCGCCATGTACTTTTAACGACTGTGATTTTAATTCATTCAGTTATAGTATTTAACTCATGTACTCGATTAAACAGTCGAGTTGCAAAAATTTGGGGGGGGGAAATAAACATTTATGAATAGTTTATGAACGATTGAAATATAATACAATATGAAAATACAAAACCATACTTTGTTCCATTCCGATAACAGTCTGAAATAGTATTAAAATAGTAATCCATGATCAGATTAGAGTTCTGTTAAGACAAAAATCTATTTAAAAGTATTAGATGTGTTATGTCTCGTTGTCTCTTAAAGATAACTACAAAAATAGATTATGTACACCTATTTGATTACAATTACGTGCTGTTCGTAGGTTTGATACAAGCTGGATCCATGTATGTAACATTTTCGGGAAAGTGGTTCATTATGATAAACTTTTTCTCAGTCGATTTGTTTAAGCAGTCAAGAAATCCGAACCAATAAATAACTAGTCCAGACCCGAACCTGTTCCAGTAGCTCAAGAATTGTTCCTTTACATACTTTTGATGGACATCCATATTGCCGAATCGTGCCTTGGACTCGATCCAATTTATCACGTAGCCATTCACTGCGATCGGTACTTCTAATTTAATGTCCGGAGTCTTGTCATATCCTCGCAATCGCAGGTGCTCTTCGTTACGAAATGCAATATTTCTTTGTATTAGACACTCTTGAAGCTTGATTTCATATTCCTGTCCTATGGATCTGTAAAGAGAAAGATACATTTTTCACATTTGCTAATTTGTAACTTTGATTTTCACAACTTTACGTAAACAAAAAACTAAGATAGGTAAGAGTATCAGAGCTTTTAATAAAATAATAAATTGAATATGTTATAGGCGACGTGGGCCGTCACCTGATAAACGGTGATAAATCGTGACAAACAAACGATCTTTATAGACATGTACTCGTATATTATAAAGAAACATTAGAGTAAAATTATTTAGAACGTTTCGGTCATCGCATGTGACCCTCTTAAGCGATAATGATTAAATAAAAACAAGTTTGATGAGTCGTTTTTGCGCCGATACATGTGAGAAATAATATAAAATATAATAAAGACCTATTATGTCGGTGTGTTAAAACATTGCGCCTGTGGGATTGTCAGTAACATGGTCTAACTCCATCGGGTCCTCCCGCTGTTGCGTGTCAATTTTCAGATACTTCATAAGGTATGCAGGAGGATATAACTGGAAGAATCGATCGAGATATGTGAGCGCCATGTAACTGAACGATACGTTGTGTACAAAAGAGTACCGTGTAATGATTAATCATGATTAATCACTAAACACATAATATACATGTCTATAAAGATCGTTTGTCACGATTTATCACCGTTTATCAGGTGACGGTTCACATCGCCTATAACATATTCAATTTATTATTTTTTCATAGAAGCCTACTAATAAATTACTTTATTATATTTTATACTTTTAATAAAAATTAAAAAGTTTGTTAGTTTGTTTCATTTTCCTTAATAGAACATTTTTATTTGACAAATGTTCACAATAGTGAAAAAAACAGTGATTTAAAGTTTGTTAACACATGTAATGAAGGCGAGACTTACATTCCCATTGCATCGGCTATAGGTCCGTACAGATCATCGTACAATGTGCACTGTAAAGAGAAAGTTGTAAGCTTCCCTCGAAACCTCCCGTTTCTTTTCACGTCGAGTATAATCATTTAAGTCATTTATTTATTACATAATAGCGAATTCGATTGCTGCGCCCTGAGTGCACACTAAGGCCTGCTTATAATCAATATTTTTACATTTAACTTTGTCTTAAATATACGTTCGAAGGGTGTTTAGTTGAAAAATGATCCGTACGGATGCTATACAGATCGTTTTACTGGCTAAGAAATATTTCAAGAGATATTTAAGGCGATCCCTAAATATAAGAATTGACTGTAAACAAGTCTTAGTGCGCACTAGTGCAGGCAACCGAATTCGCTGTAAGAGGTCTTAAAACAGATACATTCATAATTTTTTATACACATATATAAAATATATATTAAATTACCAAATAAATTTCGTATGCAAGATCCTTATCGTCAATCAACGTAGTATCCTTAAACAGCTTGGAGATTAGAGTTTTGGAGACTGAAAGAAAATTTTACAAAACATGAACAATGTTTTACACAAAACACCTTCAGTCTAAAAATAGCCGTTAATTTATTTTGCCCGTCGCTCAGTCCCTTAAATATTGACATTACCATTTGCATTATCGCGCATACAGTGTTTTTCCAAGATGTTACGCGCCAATAGAGCTGGTGCAGCGTCGATATTTTGTGCTAGCCTTAACAGAATGCCAACTGGCTCCTCATTCTGCACAGCTTCCAAGTAACTGTGATTTAAAAAGATATAGAATTCAGGGAAACGGGTGACAATTTTTCCGGCCATCATTTTTCTATACTGTAATCATTTACAATGACTTAACCGAGGCTGTCTCACCTGTCAAAGTAACTCTTGTTGTTCCCGAACAATCTGACGTGATTGGCTTTCATTTTCTGTTGTATCTCTAAAGACAGGATGCTGTACAGCGTGTTTGGATGAATTCTGCGTAAGAGCGAAGCGTCTCATCATTGAAGTATTTTAAATATTGATTAACGGGGGTGGGGGATAACATAGTTACGTTAGATTGTTGTCTAAGAATTAATCAGCAAATCGTTCAACTTCGCCACCTTCTGGATTAGTGTCTTAATAAAGGAGGAATTCTTACTCGTTATATTTCTCCTTCAACATTTTCGCGCAATCTCTCGATAGGCCATGAAAATTACGAATTGTCATCATTATGTCATTATACACTTCGGTCTTCATTGTTTACTTCGGTTATCATAACCTCGCGGTGTAACACCTGACTTCTCCGCGTCGTGCGCGCTCATGTGAAGATTGTGAAGCTATGAGGGGTTTACACCGTGATGTAAAAGTACAAGAGGTCTGTTCGCATGCCCCACATGCGGCATGTGACATG